TCGTGGATGTGGGGGGGGGGGGGGGGGGGGGGGGGGGGGGGGGGAGAGGGGGAGCGAGAGTGCTCCGTTCTTCATGGCGTTACACTCACCAGCAGCGCAGCCTGCAGGACCCCTGACCCCTGACCTCACACTCTTCTCACACCAAATCCTCCTCCATGCGTCGCAGAATAAGCGACCCCAGCATGGGGGGCGCCTACCTCACGCTGCTCAACACCATCGCCAACATTGGCATCACCGTCCCCAAGTTTTTCGTGTTTGCGGGTGCGAGGGAAGGCTTGGGGGGGATTGCTTGGGTGTGTGCCTGGATTTCCTGCCCTCCCCGTCGTGGAATCGAACAGGGCCATGGTCGGCTCGATTGCTGACCAGGAGGGCAAGGCTCTGCAGTGGCGCGCTGGCGCCACGATTCGATGTACGATGCCCTGGCACGCTTCCCTCCACTCCCCCCACCCCAAACCTCCACCCGGGCTCACACACTCCCAGCGATGGACAGCCTGACGCGGCGGGTGTGCGTTGACGGCAGCTCCGGGCGGCCCCTCCCCGGTCTCCCCGGCGACACATGCCCCGCCTCCGCGGCAGGCCACAGCCACTCCGCGCCGGCACACGCGGCGTGCGTTGCGGCGGGCGGGGAGTGCATCGTGCTGAGGGACGGCTTCTACACCGTCTCTGCCCTCAGCATCCTGGCAGGCCTGGCCATCCTGCTGTGGCTGCGGGCCGACCTGCCGCGCCTCGAGGCCCTACCCCAGTCAGCCTGGAGGGCACCCTTGGGAAAGAAACCCCGCCCAGCCAAAGACAAGGAGCTGTGAGGGGTGCCGCCCTGAGGCCCGAGGGGTCGTGCCCGTCCTCTGCCTCGTGCCTGTCCTCTGCCTCGTGCCTGTCCTCTGACTCGTGCCTGTAACATCCATAGCGGATGCATGGAGCCTGGTCCCCAGTCGCAGCACATGCATGCTTGCATACAGGCTGGCACATGTTGGAGAGGGGCGGGACCTGCAGGGTTCCTCAGGTACAGCGAAGAACAGACGCGCGGTCACATGGAAGCCTCCGCAACCAAGCTCCCTTCTCTGCACGGCCTGCTCTCAGGCCGCCTCCTCTGTCGCCGCTGCGGGGTTCTCATCCACGACAGCCACAGGGGCCTCGCCTGCCTCCTGGCCCTCCAGCACCTCGGTCACCATGAACCTCGTCAGCTGCTGGCGATGCCCGTTGGTCCGGCGGTAATGCTTCTTGGGCTTGTACTTGAACACCGTGATCTGCGCATGCGAGGAAGCGTGTAGCAGGGCTGAGAGCGCGACATTGGGACAATCGGAGACTTGCGACGCGAGCAACCAGGGGGTGCATGCCCGCCCGCCTCCACCTTGCCTATCCCCTGCAGCCATCACCCCTGCCCACTCAGTCACCCACCTTCTCGCCCTGCATGTGGTCTAGGACCTTGGCGTGCACAGCCACATCCTCCAAATAGGGCGTCCCGAAGCGAATGTCGCCGTTGGCCTTGTGGGCCAGCACCCTTCCCAGACGAATTGTCGACCCGGGGGCGGCCTGGGTGGTGGAATGGGAATGAGGAGTGACACCTGATGACACATGTTTTCCTATTGACTAGATGCCAGGGTGGTCATCCAAACAACCAGAGAATATGGTGCATGCACAAAACAATACTGCAGCACAGGTATTTAAACAGCCCCACTCACCAGCCCCCAAGTCCAATCCTCCATATGCAAGCAATAAACCGGTAAAACACAGGGTCAGCAGCTCACCTTCTCCCCCCAAAACACACACACACACACACACACACACACACTCCATACCTCCAATCGGTTGACTTCATACCACCGGCCCTTCTCCACAATCATCTGGTGACCTCCAATATCCACGACTGTGTAGCTCGCCGGCACGTTCTGTGCATAGCTTGGCACCTGGGAGTCATCCCGGTCTGATGTCGCCTCTGCTTTCTTGGTGGAAAAAGGGGCACAGGGTGGCACGCTCGCGACTGAGAGCTGCAGCACAGGCTACGTCAAGGCATTACTTGCACACCAAAACATGCCTTGAACCGCCTCAGCCGCTGCAGCCCTGCATGTTAGCTGGGAGCCCGTCGAGCGAGGGGCTGTGTGGTGCGTCCTGGGAGGGGCGATGCAGCCCGCCTTGAATGGCTGCGAGACCCTCAGTCTCGTAGAACACCATTTTGTGGATGCGGTGCATGCAGACGTAGACATTGCGGCTGCCATGATGTCGACGACAACGCTGGAGTGGCTGGGAGGACTCTGGCTTATCACCAAGCCCGAGGCCGAGGCGCAAATTGCCATGGTTTGGCGGGAATTCCAAATCATTGCCGGACGAACCCTCCGACAGCCCCAGCAACGACCAGCAGACCAGCATCGCAATGAATGCCTACGAATCCATGCATTGCGCTCATTAAACAACCAAGAGCAAAACATCTTTGTTTTCAGGAAAAGAGTGGATTATCAGATGACAAAGCTGCCTCTGGGCGACTGTAACCGTCTACTAGCATGATTCTTTGGGTATGCTAATCCGCAGTTATCCGCCAGGCTTCATTATCTTGTTCAGAATGGTGAGTACAGGCGTCTTGCACCCTTGTAACAATGGTGGCAGGGCCTGCTCAAGTACCATTGCCTTCGAAGGTGGGGAGAAGGCCCCAGCTCCACCCCACAACCTCTCTCCCCTGCCTCCGATCATCCTAAAATTCAGGATGTATACACTCGAAGGACACTAACCGTCTGACAGAGCCCGCGGTCGTGCCGTCTGCCGACAACTGGTGGTATATCCCGCCCCGAATCCGGACATTCTCTACTTCCTCCCGCGCCCTCACCTCTGGATTGCGGACCGATCCCCCGCCATGAACAGCACCCTCGGACTGGCGCGCCGTGCTCTCGTGTCAACATCAGGCCTTGGCGTCGAGGTTGGCATTGCGGTGATCGTGGGAGGCAAGCTGGCGGTCCAGGTGAGGCAGTACGGCGGGGGTGTGGTGCCATATCCGGCAAATGCACCCACCAAACATTTTCATGACCCGATCTCTCTCCGATGGACAGACCTTCAGGTCACTGCTTCGGATCCTCCTGGATCAGGGCGGGGACAGGCAGCAACTCCGCTCGTATGCTCGTGACCCAGATGGGCTGTGCACCAGCCCTCACCGCCGTCCAGATGACCCGGTGGGTTCGAGATGGGGATCCTCGGATCTGCACACAGCCCTACGTATTAGCAGCTTCATCACCATGTGCTTGGACAATACATCCTTCGAGATACTGGATGCGTACTACGTCCCCCCCAGTGCGCTGGCATCGCTGAAGCACTCCGGTCTGTGTTCCTCGTGCAGGTGGCAGGGGAACTGCAGCGGCTCAAGAAGCAGGTAGCCGCACTCCTGGCAGAGAATGAAGCCTTACGGAATCGACACCGTAAACTCAGGCAGCTTGATGCCTCTTGTGCACAGAGTGGCCAGGCTGCTGCAAAAGGTATGGGCAAAACAGACAATGGGATGTACTCCCTGCCTGGGCAGTGGCACAGGAACATCTTGTGCACTTCGGGCAACCAGTCCCTGGCAACGCCCCATCACCTAGCAGAAGCCGTGTCGGAAGGGGGGCAGCAGTCGTCAGCCAAGCACTTCATAAAGGCGTCCCGAACCAGAAACACGCTCCCCGCCCCTGCTGAGACGCTGATTAGTCCCCTGAAGGTTTGTTGCCTGGAGTCATTTAGGAGAGCGCCTGGGTATCACTCACGCAGCTCTGTCTGTAGTTGAGTGCATGAAGCTGTTGGAATCTCGCGCTCTCAGTACGGGATCCTCCACCAGCCAGCTCCCCGACTGCATCCACTTGAACTCAGGATGGCCGCAGCTCCGGTGAGGCGCTTGTGGACCAGCTTATCAAAGACAATCGCAAGGTGTGTTCTGGAAGGGGATGTGAGAGTGTCAGCCTGGAGTTTTGCTTGATTGACACTGGCGCTGCGATGATGCTCAAACCAGACCCTCCCTATCTTTGACATGTGAGCAGCTACAGCAGCGCCTTGATGCGGCCCTGAGGCTGAACACAGAGCTTGCAGACCGCCTGATGGAGGCAGCATTCATGCCTGGATCCAATTCAGGTGAGTGGCACCTTGATGGCAGATGCATTTCCAGCAGTCATGCCCTTGAAGGGGCTCATCAATCTGTGTGTTGAAGGCATGAACGCCTTGAGAGGGAGAGTTGGATGCATCTTCCTCATCTCATATCTCCCCCGTCGCCCCTCACCCTCCCACCAGAGCATGCCTCTGCCCCCTTTTCCCCTGATCGGCAAGGCCGAGAGGCTGGCCACCAACAAGGGACCCCAGGACGCATGGCTGAAAGGGTGACTCATGGGTACCCTGTCGGAATTGGTCTGTTTGTAGGGCATACCATTGCTTGATTATGCCATGGATTGTACGTTCCTTTGATCCAATGGACACACTGAGAATGATGGATTCAGACTTCATCCAGGCTTTAATTTATCGAAGTGACTTTCCACCCCCTACACCTTGCAGATGTCAGGCACTGGGGAGGAGGCGCCCCTGAGTGCCCGCCAAGCCATCCTGAGGACACGCAGCAACCCCAGCTGCGCACGACGACGCGTCCTGCTCTCAGACTTCGCGGAACTCCAGTTCAAAAGCGATGCAGGGGGAGAAGCACTCTTGCTAGAGAACGACGGGGGCGAATGAAGTGCAAACATAAAGCATTTGGGAGTGTGGCTGTAAGCAGTTGCGCCTCAGTGATGCTATACGTGAAGACAAGCGCAACGTCACACCCTTCGTGCGTTGTAAGCTCAACTGTAAGCTTGATGCAAATGATTGTGGGAAGACATTTGCAGGTGCATGCAAGTGCCGCCCACACATTGGCCAGGCTTCCTCTGTGGATCAGTCTGTATTTGTAATTATAGCAATAATCCAAGGACATTGCCCATAATACAGCGATAGGATAGCCTCCCACTGAGCGAGGGCGCAGTCTTGTTCGGAGGGGACCGCCACGTGCTGCCAACTCCTCCCCATGAAGCTGTCCCGCCTTGCCACAAACCTCCGTGCCAACCTTCCACCCGGCTGCGCCGCAACATCCTCCTCGACTTGATTCCGCTAAAAACCGCATGGCTCCGGCGTTCCGATGTGTATATAATTGCCTGCAAGAATCACTGTTGTATATATTTTACCATTTGTAATCCACGTTCAAGGACACATCTACGTCATGAGGGTTATGGCGGCTCTTCTAGCGGTCATGCTGATGGCAGCCGCACCAGTCTTTGCACAGCCCCCCGGCTCCAACGCTGGACTCCCACCCTCGGCCACAGCCACGGGCCTGGCGGCCCAGAAGCTTACTGCCGAGATCGGGAGCGCCTTGATGGTGAGTGGGTGGATCCCTGTGGGATGGTGTCCAAGGGTCTCTGAGGCCAGATTCATGCCGGACCGGAGGACGGCCTCGACACATGGACCGTGCACGCCTTGACCTCATTCAACCCCACAGGCGGAGATGAAGTACACGGATGTGGATCTCCTGTCCTTCCTGGTCAACACCGAGTGCTTGGAGGCGGAGTTTAACTCCTTTGCCGCATTTGGCGTGGGCATGCACCCCAAGCTGTTCGGGCTCGACTCCCCATCGCCCATGGGCGGAAAGAAGGCCAACCTCTCCTGGGACATCCAGCTCTGGTCCGAGGAGGTGAGAAGCTGGACGAATCTGTTGTGTCTGAGATGATTTAGGACTCGATGAAGAGAGTTTCCTCCTGATCCTGAAGTGTGTCATCAGGTCTTGAAGACCGAAATACATTCTCCATCATCCATACATCTCCTACCTTTGCAGGTGGCACGTGACGAGATTGGTCACGTTCGCATCCTCCACGAGGCTCTGGGAGCTGACGCACCCTTCTGCCCCCAGTTGGACATTGATGGTGGTTTCCAGCAGGTGAGGGAGACGGGGTGGGTAGGGTGCAGGCAGGATTGCATGGTACACAATGGACTATCATCCTTTGCACCACGCAGACAGCAGCCAGCAAAGATTTCACACACCTTACACAAAATCACCCACTTCCTGCCACCCACAGCTGTTCAACGATGCCCTCGGCACCACCAACGTGGAGTGGGACCCCTACAAGGACGATGTTCACTTCGTGCTCAGCACCTTTGCCCTGGAGGAGATTGGGGCTACCGGCGATAAGGGCGTGACCGGGCTTGTCGCCATCAACGGCAATGGCACTGTGGTCGACCTCGTGGGTGGGCTTGCCCAGTCTGCAGGCTACCAGGCTGCTGCCGACCGCTACATCCTGTGGACCCACCGCAACGACACCCTGCCTGAGTTTGGCAAGACCGTCAATGAGGTCATGGAGGAGCTGACGAGCTACCGCCAGGCCCTCACCGGGGATGTCCAGATTGATCAGGGTCTGACCTACCGCGGTGGCATCAATGTCGTGCCCACGGACGGCAATGGTGTGACTCTCTCCCGCACGCCCCAGCAGGTGGATTGGGTTGGTTACGCTGTATCTATTGGATATGATCAACACAGTTCATTCCTAAATTCATTAAAACGATGGATTGTGGGGTGGACTTGAAACTTTACCCGTACCTCATCCTATTTCCCTTCATGATTCCTTTCAGGTCCTGCACATCCTAACTCTAGGATCCAGCAACGGAATTGGAGGCTTCTTCCCTGATGTGAGTATGAATTCTGGAAGAGATTGTTGTTTAGGAGAAGGTCTTGAAGCATCTACATGATGGGTCACATTGCACCTGCTCCTAAGCTTGCCATATATCATGAAAAGTCTGCAGTAGACTGTTATGTCAACCCACTATCCTCACCCTCCTCTTCACCCCATGCAGGGAGTGAATGGGCGTATCAACACCCCCGACCCCCTGAGCCCTCCCTCCTCCATCCCAAGCGAGCTTATTGCCATGGCAAACGCTCCCTACACCATTGTCTCCAGCTACAAAGATGTGGAGGATCCCTTCGCGCCCAGCCCCCCCGGGAATGTGAGCGCTTCATCCAGCCCGTGATGCTGTGTGAACATGAGTTTATGCTCACCTACATATGTGCACACACTTCGCCACGTTCCCCAGTGCCCAAATCTGACCATTTTTGTCTACCGTCAAGTGTCACCAGTCTGCACATGCCCACGGTGGGGTTCTGTGTCTTATGTATACACCATGTCCCATGTCTGTGTCGTAAGTCAGTGAACGTTCAACAGGACAGAGGTTGGATGTCAGTGGACAAGCTTGGGAATCTTATTCGATCTAGCACTAGAACCATGCTCACTCCTTGCACGTGACACCCTCCTTCATCACAATGGAGACACCCTCTCACGCTGTGCTCTCACTACTCACTCAGACAATAGTCACGTTACACTGAAATGCAACATGCCCTCATTTGTAGCGTCCAACACGACGGATCAAGGCACACAGTCACCGCTCGTTATTGAGCTGCGGATCTGCAGGAGGGTGCCAACCGACATTCGGGACGTGTGTGTACCCTAAGGTCTCACTCCCCGAGGCAGCCCCTGTCGCCAGGCGTGGCTCCCCCGCCAGGCCCGACCCCACGCCCGCTGCGTACTGCTGTCCCTGCACCGCATGCTGGGCGTGCGCTGGCTGGAGCTGCTGCGTCGGCCTTGGAAACTGCTGCTGCTGCTGCGCGGCCTGCTGCTGCTGCTGCGCGCTCGCCAACCACTGGAGGTAGCCGGGCGGCAGCTGCCCCGGGTTGGGCGCGGGGCGGGCCTGCTGGGCACGGTGCAGCGCCGCGAGCCGAGCCTGCTGTGCCTGCTGCGCCTGCATGTGGGCCAGCAGCATGCCCAGCTGCTGGGGGGACAGGCTGGACAGGGCCGGCGGGCGCACGCCCGGGAGGGTCTGGGGCGTGGGGAAGCCCTGCAGGCTGGCCTGGGGCGGAGCACCGCCCAGTGGGTAATGATGGGCCGGAGGCCCCCCCTGCAGCAGATGCCCTGCATTGGGATGCATGGAGAAGGCCGGGTGCGGCCCTGGCTGCGGGGCGGCCAGCGGCCGAGGGCGGGGCCCCGGCTGCGGGCCCGAGGATCGGGCCCATTGTTGGGGCGGCCGCCCATCGGGCAGCACAGGCCAGGCGCCCGGATGTGAGGCGCCCGGGCGACCGCCAGCGCCTGCCTGTCCACCCTCCGGCGCCGCGGCACCTCCCCACTGCCTGGGGCTGCCCGGCCCGGCGTGCCAGTGGCTCTCCACACCACCTTGGAGCCTGCCGCTTGTTGGCGAGGCGTTCGTCTGTCGGCCAGCCTCGACCCTAGGGGGCTGCACGCCCGGCCGCGACGCGGCGGGTGCAGGGCCCGACCTCGGCGCAGTGTACGCTCCAGGAGGCTGCGCCAGAGCCGGGCCCACCGAGGGCGCAGGAATGGTGGCAGCAGCGACAGCTGCAGCGACACCGGCGCGCAGCGAAGTCCGGGGTCGGGAGCTGAGGGGCCCTGCAGCCGCCTGGGCAACCCCCGCACGCGGGGAGGCCACCCCCCGGCTGAGCTCCGAGGACGGCCGGGAGAAGGCGTGCTCCAGGGCCTCCCTGGCAGCGCGGCACCCCTCCATACGGGCTGCGGGGTGGGTGGGGGAGGCCGTGGCACGATGAGTGGGGTGGTGGGGGTGGAGGAGGGATGCATTGGAGGAGGAAGAGAGCCTGGTGATGCAGGGACAGCCCGCGGTCGGAGGGCGTCAGGAGCATGGACAGGTGAACTTCAGACGAATGTGTCCCAAAGCAGCTTGAATGTAGGACTGCTTGCTCGCACCTCAACCCAGGCTGGGCCTCAAGGCTGCCACAAGCATGGTCCCGACCGGCTCCCATCAGACCGTCACTTGCCCCACACCCCACTCTGCAAAGCGCTGCATTCTCCCGGCATGCAAACGCCAGTGCCCAACCCCACCTCCGCCAATCACCCACAAAACCCACCCGTCTCGACGACCAGCGGCACCCGCCCCGCGATGACTCGCGCGGCCCCCGACCCGCACCGCTGCCTCACGGCCGCCAGCACGCTCTCCACCTGGCCTGGCTCTGGGAAGTCTGCCGTTCCGGCACCGCCGTCCCCGGCACCCTCCGTCTTGACGGCCGGGCTGACCTGCTGCCCCGCAATGACACCGGACAGGAGGCCCGCCAGGGCGCCGCCCACCGCGGTCAGACCCCGCGCACCCGACGCGCGCTGTCGGGCTCGGGCGGCCGAGAGCGCGACGACCACCGCGGCGGCGGCGGCCTGCGACGGGCCGACGGTCCTCGCTGGCGTGTCGCTGCCTGCCGCCGCGCCATCGCCGGGGGGGAGACCGTCGCCCCACGGGATGGGCCCGCCGGGCCCGCGGCCGTCCGCATCCTCCCCGCCGTGCACACTCCACCCCGCCCTCAGCACTTCGGCGAGCGCCGCGGCGGCGCGCCGCACCGCATCGTCGCCGCGCTGCGCCGCTGCGGCCATGCCTGCGAACCGCGCCGCGCAGTCCTCCGGGCGCCTGCCGCGGCCCTGGCGGACGGCGGTGCCCACGCCAGCCTGCGTCGTGGCGGCGGCCCCGGAGGCCAGGGCATGGGCCACCAGCCTCCAGGCCGCCGCGCTTTCTTCGCGCCCATGCCCAGTCGAGAGCAGGTGCTGGAGGGCCAGGCACAGCACCAGGTCCTTTTTTTTTTGGGGGGGGGGGGGGGAGGTAGAGAGAGACCCTCGAATGAAAATTTTAACACCGGCAGGAGGGGAATTTATTGGTGCAGGAGCAGGACCCATTTCCCCTGCAACCTGACCACATCCTGGCCTCCCAACCACTTCCAGGTACCAGCCTCTGCCCTACAAAAACCTCACCCACCCACCTCCTGGACCTCCCACGGCGGGGGCACCAGGGGCAGGCTGGCCCCCGCCGCCCTCCGCTCGCGCTTTCCAGCTCGCGCCCGGCCCCGCGGCGACAGGGCGGTGTCCTCCTCGCCGCTGCTGCCTCCGCCGCCGCGACTGGCGCCGGCCTTGCCCCGCTTCCCACCCGACGCCGTGGCCAGGGAGGGGGCCGGGCGCGCTGCTGCCGCCGCCGCCGCGGCCGCGGCCACCGCAACCTGCTCCTGCTCGTCGAGTGATATGGCGTGGCAGCGATGAGAGCCGGGTGAGGAATCCTCCCCCATCAATGGGTTCCATTTCCTACTAAGTTTTCTTTCTCGTGCCCACCCTTGCCCCTATCCCTTTGAGAAACTGACGTCACCAGCGTAGCACCACCATGGCCGTCCCAGATGTTGTATACCCCCCTCCTCCCTTTCCAAACTCCTCCACCTGTATCCAGGCCGCCTCGGCCTCTTCCCGCTCTCGTGCCTCGGCCTGGGCTGCCTCCACCTGCGCCCGATAGGCCTCAGTGGCCATGCCCGTGTCCCAGTCCGCGACCAGGGTCTGCTCCTCATCCTCGTCAATCTCCGCCTCCCTTTCCTCCTCGGCGGCCTCCATGCCCTCGATGTCAAACTCCGCCACCGTGTACTGCGCTTGCACCTGTGGATGAGGGTGTTGGGGAGGGTAAGAGGGGATTACTTCTGTGATGGACTTGAAGCTCCAGCTTCCTTACAGGACAGGGCAGTGAATCATGGGCCGCTCCCTGGCTGGAGCGCTGGAACCTGTCCCTTCAGCGGCCATTGGAGTGCTGCAGGATCGAAGGTCGACCCAGCCCCCTCCGCGCCTTGGTTCGCACCCCTCCCCCCTTCACTTGCCTGAGCGGCGAGAGTTTCAGGGTCCAGCTCGGGGACCTCATTCTCCAGCCAGCGAACGGCATACCGCTCCACCGGTCGCAAGGCAGAGGCCCAATCGGCCGCCAAGGGTCCTGGGAAAGCAGTGGAAAAGGGTTGGGAATGAGAGGAAACAGGGGCGGGAGACTTGATCTGGGCATGGACCCAACATCATCTGCCTGACGAGCTTGACTCGGCGCATCCGGCTGGCTTGCAAAGAGTGTGCAGCGACGAGACATGCCCAGTTGGACATCCGCACTTGATTTTAAGATGCTGCAGCACACCTAGCTTCCCATGTCATCTTGAGGCAGTCACTCATCTGTCCAATCCTCCCTATGCCCTGGACCCACACCTTCATCTACTGCCTCCGCCGTGCCTGCGGCTGCCTCGTCCACCGTGGCTGCCTCGGGGGACGACGAAGAGGCAGCAGCAGCAGATGACTCGCGGGCACCACTCTTCTTGTCCTCGTCCTCCTCACCCTCCTCCTTCTCCCCAGCATCCACTCCTGGAAGGGGATCCTGCACGCATGCAAGTATGATGGTCAAGGACAGAACACCCCTCGGGCTGATCATGCGCCGATACAATACCCATCATACGCAAAATTGGCCTCCGCCGCGTGCCTCCAGTGAGATCTGTGCACACCTTGGTGAACTCGTCCATCTCCGCCGCGGTTTCTTTGGCAAGCGCAGTGGCTGCCGCGGCATCCCCCTCGTCCTCGGCGGCGGCCATGGCGGCCGCCACCTCGTCAGAGGATGGCTCCTTGACGCTCACACCATGCCCGGAGGCCGGATCCCCCACCTTCAGACCCATCGCCGTCTCAGCGATAAGAGTGGCAGGATCAAGCTTGGTGAGCATCTCTGTGGTAAAGCCGCCAGACTGTGCGATAGGGAAGGGAGGGGGCTGGGTGATGAAGTATGCCCGCTTCGATATAGGTCATGGATCCCTTGCTAGTGATGATGTTGCCCCCAATTCATGGCTTTGGTGACTACATGACGGGTGATGGGGCATGCACAGACACGAGTCCATGCCCCTTCAGCTCTCCCATCTTATCTGCCCAAGATCCGGCAACCTACCTGGATGGCCAAGAAGTCGAGCTGGCGTTTTTGGTCAGACTTCTTCAGGATGTTCTCTTCGATGGTGTGCTGGCTGCACGCAGGGTGGATGCCGGAAGGAGGGTTTAGACAAAAGCTCCTTGGCCGGTCCAGGGCTACAGAATTGTTCATTGCAGGCTCCTCCTCATGGGCTTGGAGTTGCACTGTTGATAGTACCAACGATGCTTCTCCCTGAAACCACGAGATCAGCACCCACAGGCTCCCATTGCCAACACACCCAGCTGGTATGCGCTGCTCAGTACCTGATCATGCGGTAGATGTGCACCTCGCGGGTCTGTCCGATGCGGTGGCACCTGTCCTGAGCCTGGGCATCCATGGCCGGATTCCAGTCTGCGAGGAGGGTATGGAGAGTGATGCAGCGCGCATGATTCTTGTGAGGTCATGCTGATGGAGCCGGCCCAGTGTGGCCTTGCTGAGCAAGCTTGTGCATACTGTGCAGACCCCAAACAATAAGGAGACCCCAAAGCAGACTCAGGAGGGCAGCCAGTCAGCCAGCCAGCCCGGTGCAGCGGCCTGACTGGGTGCGTCACACCTGAGTCGTAGAATCTGCAAAAGGAAGTGTGCGTTGGGTGTGTCGCATGGATTCTAGGTGATGGGAAGAGGTTGCTGTGAGGGATTGCTGAGTGCATTCTTTCATCAGCAAGCATGTCGCAGATTTGCTCTCTCAGGTTGCGCCATGCCACCACCCATGGTGCCCAATCAATGCATTCTTGACACGTCATGCCTGGCCGTCCCAATCCACATACAGTCGTGCACCGCATTGATCAACCCAGCCGGCGTGGACTCACATGACGGTGTCGGCGCCCACCAGGTTCATGCCGACCCCACCCGACCGGGTGGAAAGGATGAAACAGAATATCTTGGGATCCGTGTTGAAGCGCTGAGGTGGGTTGATGGGAGAGGAGGCTTGATGAGGAAGGGAGGTGGGAAAGGTCGAGGCGCAGAGCCAGCACCTCCTTCTGGGTGATAGGGGTGTCATGCTGCTCCAGTAAATCTTGCCATCGCCCCTCCTCCCTCGACCCCTCTCACCAATAGTAAGACTCTGGTCCCCGCCCCCGTCCCCAAACACAAACATCAGCCACCCACGCAGGGCATCGCTGCCCTCAACCCCATACCTGCATGAGCATCTGGCGCTGCTCCGGCTTGGTGGCCCCGTCCAGGCGGACGTAGGTGTGGCCCTGCAGGCTGAGGAAGCTCTCCAGCACATCCAGCATCTTGGACATCTGGGTGAAGATGAGCGCACGGTGGCCGCCCGCCTTCAGCCGCGCCAGCAGCCCCGCCAGTTCCTGGAGCTTGCCCGAGTCGAACTGGATCAGCCGCTTGTCAGGGAAGAAGAGGCTGGTGCGGGTGCGGGCGAGGTGCAGCACCTCCCCCCTGCTGTACCAGGTCTGCACATGGGTTTGTTTGGAGGATGGGGGGGATTATGAGGAGGTGAGACGGCGAGCAAGCCGTTGGTAGGTGTGGGGTGCCGACATTACATGCATTGGTGACCTGCGATACACCAGGCAATGAGCGACGCAGGAAAGAGGCTGGCGTACCTTCACACACACATTTACACCCCTCCCAAGTCATAACCCCCCCCCAAAAAATATACCTGTGCCAGGGCCCGGGAGGCGGCGGCTGCTGCGACAACCGAGCTGGGGTCTGGGCGGGAACAAACCAGGGTGGGTGCCGGGGCCCGCGCCTTTGGGATGTAGCACAGGAAGGTCAGGAGGAGGTCCTCCATCCGCGCCAGGCGTGCTTCCGGGAGCAGGATCGCCTCCCTGGGTGTGGAGCAGGTGGGCCAAGTTTGTAAGAAAGCGGGATGTACTCCAGAGTGCAAGAGAACAACATCCTCCAGCTCTGCCATCTGCTCGATGTTCGCCTCTTATGCCCCCACAGTCCTTTGCACCTCCTGCCAGCATGTGCATGGAGCTGCCTTCCACCCAATTCCCCCCATTGCAAGCTTGCACTCACACTGTCAACCCATTCCACCACCACGCAAAGGCACCAGGCATCGACTTCACCCACTCAACCACCCGTCACCGCTTCAACAACCACCCGGTAATCCACCCAGCGCCCCGACTCACTTCAAAAACTCGGAGACTTCCAGGTGCCGACAGCGGCTGGCGTCCAGCCTGTGGACGTCCTCGGGCCTTTCCAGGCGCAGCAGCGCCTCCGCGTCGACGCCCACCGGCGGCAGGGCGGCGCCGGCGCGCAGCGCCGACAGGCCGCCCATCGCGGCCAGGCGCCCGGCCCGCCACGCCCTCGCCCTCGCCGCCAGCTGCCCCAGGGCTGCATGCACCGCCTGCAGGGCCGCGGTGCTGGGCTCCCAGCCCAGGGCGCACGCCAGGGAGCCGGAGACGAGGGCCTGGGTGGGCAGCAATCTCGAGCGCGTCTCCGACTCGGTGCAGGCACCGATGACGCACGAGGCCGCCAGCTCGGCGGCGGCACGGGTCGCAAGCGCTGCCCACAGGGCCGTGCCTGGGAGGGGGGGGGGGCGGTTAGGAGGTAGTTTGTACTGTGAACAAATACATTGGAGATTTGATGGACCCTTCCTACAACAATTTACCCCCCTCGCACCGTATCGAAGGGCGTCAAAGGGCCCCCCTTGCCGCAGACTCTGGTCTAAGGAAAGCAGGTTACACGCCACCAAGCCAGGCACGCGGAACTCCAGCCCGGGCACCATGTCGAAGGCTGAGATGATGGGCCTGGGCTCAAACAGGTCTGGGTGATTGCACACCTGGGCAGGGCGGGGCGGTAGGAGGGTGTGGAGGGCGGCATTCTACGTGCCATGAGCTACAGCAGGAAGCTGCAGGGGCTCTGGATGCAGAGGTATACATGAACCCCAGGCCAGGCGCGGCCTGGCCACACCATCCAACACATCCACCCACCTTGCGCAGCTGCATGAGGCAGTTGATGATGCCCAGGAAGTTGCCGGTGGCCAGCGTCGCCCGCGTCCCGCTGGAGGCCATGTACTCCTCGTACAGCTGGCGCTGGCGCTTGGACAGCCTGGGGGTGGGGCACACCGGCAAGTGAGGGAACCTGGGTCAAGGATGCCTTGAGCGGAAACCAGTTGCAGCCGCAACATGCATCAAGGGTCCCACCGTTCCTATGCTTGACGGCCTTTGCAGTACCTGCAGTACACCACGTGCTCGTGCTTGGCGGGCAGCTGCTTCTCCACGTCCCTCTTCAGGCGGCGCAGGAGGAAGGGGCGGAGGACGGCGTGCAGCCTCTCCACAATGGCGCGGTTCATCTGCAGGGCAGGGCGGGGGGTGGGGCTGGCTCATGCTCCCAGTGGTAGTCATCAAGCCCGGCTGTGTGCTCATGCGCGATGGGGCAAGGCCCACTCAGGCCCTCACGCGCACCAGCCACTGGCTACCCCTCAGCAAGCAGCCTCACCTCGGCAGACCCCTCCACCATTCCCGTCAGGGGGTTGGAGAACCAGTCCTTGAACTGGGCGTGGCTCGCAAACACCTGTGTGTGTTGGGTTGGGGGGAGGGATCGAACACCTCTGGGTCGACCAGCTGATCGTGCAACACACCGTCACGGCCCTACACAACCCATCAATTTCGTCGGGCGGTACAGCTGTGAGCTGGCCCCGACCAGACACATTCCCCCTTTCCACCCGCACACCGACCTGGGGCATGAGGAAGTGCATGAGGCTCCAAAGCTCCATCAGGTCGTTCTGCAGCGGCGTGCCGGTGATGAGCAGGCGCCGTTTGGAGTTGAAGTTGAGCAGGGTCTGCCAGCGCTGGCTCTTCCAGTTCTTGATCATGTGCGCCTCGTCCAGGATCAGGTACTTCCACTTCTTCCGCTTGAACATGCGAGCATCCTGTGCGCGGGGGAGGGGTGCCGGGGTGGAGGGGGGTTCCCTTGCCCGCCAGGGTGAAGGAAGGTAAGCCAACGGGTCGTCGACAACCCAATAAACCAAAACAGCAGAGCATGGCGCCTCTTTGACAGGCATACACACGTGCATGTTTCATGATGCTCCTCGACAGCAGGGACCTGCATTTTCCCGGGTCTACAGTGCCCCATGGTCCCCACCCCACCCTCCAGCCCAACCTCCCTCGCATGCAGGGACCCTGACACTCCAGCGACGCGCCCACCTGCAAGACCAGGGTGTAGGAGGTGATGCAGACGTGGAAGGCGTTGGGCTTGGACCAGCCCTGGCGCTTGGCCGCCCGCTCCTTGACGCTGCCATAGTAGGTGAGCAGCTTGAAGGCGGGGCACCACTTCTTGAACTCCATCTCCCAGTTCAGCATGACCGAGGTTGGCACCACCACCAGGTGCGGACCCCAGTCACCCCTGTTGAGTTGAAAGGGGGGAACTTGGGGGAACTTCCGTGGGGGAGGGTCTTGTGCAATGCTCCAGACAAATGCTCACCAGGCCGTGGGAAGTGAGGGCAGGAGTGCAGTGGAAGAGGGGCCTGCAGGCATTTTCCGACATCAAACACTGAACATCCGAAATGAATCCATGTGCCGCTCCCCAGAGAAACAGCGGTCGCTCACTTCTCGCAGGCGAGGTGGCTCAGCAGGGAGATGGTCTGGATGGTTTTGCCCAGCCCCATCTCGTCCGCCAGGATGCCTGCGGTGCGAATGGGGGCAAGATTGACGAGCTCGACCAAAGGAAGTGCTCCCTGCCACACCCCTCCTCGGCGCGCGCCACTGCTTGTGAGTCGCACCCCCAGGGTCACACCCCTGCTGTTTCTGGCCCCAGGGGCGTCACCCCACCACTGACACACCATCTGGGAACCCGGAACAGAAGTGGTGTCCTGGAGGTGGTCATCACTCCGGCCCCAACTCCCCCAAAACAACACACCCACACACCATTGAGTCGTTTCTGATACAGGGTGACCAGCCAGTCCAGGCCGATGTGCTGGTACTCCCGCAGCGTGCCCTTGAGGAGGAAGGGGGTCTGCGGGCAGGGCAGCCGGTGCCAGGTCATGCCATTGTCGGTCGGGTATGGGAAGGGTCTGTATCTTTAAACAGGGGGTCTCCCACGTGCCGCGAAGAGAACGCAGCGTGTTTCTCGGCACAGCCACACCCGTCTCCAAAACACAGCCCAGCGCACACACCTGGGTCACGACGTGGGTGGTGTCCAGGGTGTGTCCCGTGGGCTGGACCTGGGCCATGGCCGCCAGGGCCCCCGCCATGGTCTGGTCGCCGGCGGGGCCCTCCCCCTCCTCCTCGGTGGCGAGGGCAGAGTGGCCAGGGGCGGGGGCAGAGGAAGGCACGGCACCATCAACCCCCGACACAGAAACAGCTTGCGTGCCCGCCGTCGCCGGGGCCCCGAGCTGCGGGGGTGCGCCGCCAGCTGCGTCCGTGCCTCGCCGGCCGGTCCCTTCCTCGGCGTCCCGCCTCGTGGCTGCCTCCTGCTCACGCGCCGCGCCTTCTTGCTCCCACTCCTCCCCCGACCCGGGCCGAACGTAGCCGTAACGCGCCATGAGATCCGCGAGGTCCATCTCCGCCTCGTCCGCAAGCCCCGCCAGCTCCTCCGCCTGCCGCTCCGCGGCCGCCTCCCCGTCGGCCGCCGCCGCAGCCTCCTCCTCCTCCAGCGTGGCCTCGTCGTCGGCGTCGTCTGAGTCCGCGCCATACTCCTCCGGATCATCCCCGTCGCCTTCTTGGTCCAGCGCCGCGCAGTCCAGCCCCTCTTCCGCCAGGCGAGACCGCGACGCACCGGCCGCAAGGAACTGACCGCCGACGGGTGGCGCTGAAGAAGGCGCCAGGCTGGCTGCTGCAACCCCAGTACCCACCGCCCGCTGCTCAGCCACAGGAACTCCATACGCCGCCAGCAGCTGCCCCAGGGGCACATCTGCATCCGCCGCCAGCCCATCGATCTCCTCCTTCTCGGCCTGTCGGCTGTAGCCTTCAGCGAGCGCAGCCGCCTCCTCCTCCTCCAGGGTCGCCTCGTCGTCGGCGTCGTCGGAGTCAGCACCATACTCTGGCAATTTAGTGTGGGTTGGAATGGCTTGGGCATGACAAACTGGTGAGTGGAGATCAGAACAGTGAGCCTCGTGGCAGAGGTGGCTGTTTCTGATCGTGAAGTGCCATGGCTGAAAGGACAACAGCTTGGTGCAATGCAGCCAGACGTGATGCCCCACTATCCAACCCTGCAAAGGGCAGACTTGACCCATCAAAGCTGTATCCCGAGTCAAGAGCCCAGAAACAGCCAACCTCACCACCCGCACCACCCGCACCCCCGTCCAGCTCTGCCTCCACGCTGTCCAGATCGTCCAGGCCCTCCTCTGCCAGGCGGGAACCTGCAAGCTCTGCAGTCTGGGGTGACTCGGGCCCTTCATGTGCACGGCCATTCCCAACCGCCACGGCCTTCAAGCCCTGTCGCTCAGCCACAGGAACTCCATACGCTGCCAGTAGCTGTTCCAGGGGCACATCTGCATCCGCCGCCAGCCCATCGATCTCCTCCTTCTCGGCCTGTCGGCTGTAGCCTTCAGCGAGCGCAGCCGCCTCCTCCTCCTCCAGGGTCGCCTCGTCGTCAGCATCGTCGGAGTCGCCCACATAGTCGCCCGAGGCATCCTCCGCCTCGTCAGCCACCGCAGCCTGCATCAGCACGGCGCCCGACGTCCCGGCACTGTCGTCCCTGGAGGCAGGCCCTGCAGAGTCATGCCCTGCAGAGCCCATTGCTCGCAAGGCACTCAGATGAGCCTCGGCATGGGGGCCACACTCGCTGCCCAGCCCATCAAGGTCCATGACAGCCGCAGCATGTGCTGCTGGAGGCAGGGAGTCGATGTCCATCGCCTGTCGACCTGCTCCCGGTGCATCTCCACCTGATCGAACTGCAGGGTCAGTGGCAGGTGCAGCGGGCGGCTCCTCGCCGTCACCGCTGGTCTTGGCCTCCCGGGGAACCGCCTGGCCGGCCGGGCTGGCGCAGCGGGGCGCAGGTCCCAGGTCTCCGCCCTCCTCTGTCCCCAGCCTCTCTGCCAGCATGCTAGAGTACTTTTGAGTCTGGCCCAGCAGGAAATCCAGCTGTGGCGGTCGACGAGGGGCAGGGGGTGAGGTGCGGCCAGCAGACTCCATGGGAGCAGCCACAGGCAGCCGGCATGGGGCCAACACCGTTGGTAGCAGGGCGGAGCCCGACGCCAGGGGCAATTAGATCCCGCAACGACCACTTATAACCCTTTGCATCTGTCTGTCGCCCCCACCTCCGCACCAACCTGCTTGTCCATGATCTCCTTCTTGCGTGCATCCATCTCCGTGCGACGTCGGTGGGCGACCACGCGTCCCGCCTTTTCCCAAAAGGACATGACCTCCTTGCCGATCCAGGCCGCCCGCCGCCGCAGCGCCCTCTCCTCCTCCCTGGCCCGGACCAGGACCCTGGATTCAAGATCCTTGTTGGAGCGCGCCACCTGGGTTGGGGCAGCATGTCAGGCCAGGAGTCGGGACCCGTGCCAGGCAGGGCCTGTACGCCACCAGGATGGGGCACCGGCGCCCCTCACAGCCTGCATGGGAGCCTCTTGCCGCCTGCCAGCTCCCCAACAAGCCAGCCATCTCCTCAGCCCATAAAGAGACACCCGTCTTCGCCCCAACTCACGGCGTGGGCGAATCGGCGTGCCTGTTTCTCCTTCCAGGCTCTTTCTTTCTGGAATTCCTTTGCCAGCCACTGACACACAGGGAGAGGGGGAAAGTATGAGCGACAAATGGTGAAGGGTCGGTCATGAATCGATTTGCTGTAGGACCATTGTTGGAGGCTGGCCATTTAATCTATCTCAAACACACTCAACCCATCATCCAATGTGCATGGGCCATCACGGGCCGTATAACACTGGAAAGCGCGCACCGTCATCTCCTCGAGAAGATGGTCACGATGTGATTCCCCCCGCTTGGGCTCTGGCCAAGGAGGGACCTGGCGGCAGAGAAAATCGAGGGATGATCAGGGAACAGGATGTTGGGAGGGAACAGTATGTGAGCAGAAAGGATGGCTCGCGATGCTTTCAATCATGCAGCCACACAAAATGCAGCCAGCAAGGGCAGTGGCAAGCGATCACCGCCATCTGCCACGACAAAATCGGGCCGATCCTGGTCATCTGCAGGAAGGGACAAGCTGGCGAGCAGGACAGAGCAGGGCTAGCCTCCAAAGCCCTGGACAGCCGCGCAGCCTGCACACCGGTTTCAGTTAGCCGAGCCTCCCCTCCGCACCTTGGTGGCTGCCCGCATGTCGCGGATGACCGCCGCTTGCTTGACGACTCTGTCTCGTACGTCCTCCTGGGATTGGTCGTCCTCCCACTGGGAGTCACCCAGGTAGGAGCCATGATGGACCTCGTCATCCGAGGATGCCATGGCAGTCAGATGCGGTCTGCAGGTGGGATGCCGCGAGGTTGCAGGCGGTGCATGGAGTATAGCACAAGGAGTCTGGCAACAACGCCATGCTGGGCCAGCAACCGCATGCAGGCACCCCAGGGCAATAAGACCTCCCAAACATACCCCGACAGGAGATATCAGAGCATTGCTGAGACCTGATTGAGCATGAGTGGAGTCGAAGGAGGCTTCCTTTGAGCCGTGCTGTGGACGTCTTCCTCACCTATCGCTTACTCCGCCGATCGGACCCCTTGCACCAATCCATTCGTCGATTCGAGATGTTTCAGGCCATTTTATCGCGTCTGTGAAGGAGTTTGGGGCTCTGCACGGGCAATGGGCCAGATAGGCTCGGGCCCTCAATTAGTGGTGTGCTCGGGTCGGCCAGACAAAAGACGGTTCGCCGTCATCCTTGGCAACTTTTGCCGGAGTGTTCTCGGATTCGACTGATTCCGTCTTATTCGATCGCTTACGCGTGCTTAAAGGACTCTCGCGAACCCTTTCCGGTCGAGCCCAGAACCAGTTGCGTGTGACGTGGCTGGCGGGAGAACCGATCCCGTGCTCCTTGAATTGATAGTGGGACATCTCCCCCCCCCCTTGCTGTGGATCATAGGGAATATGCACTCGCTCGACTCAGGAAACCATTGCAATAGATGGTGGCGAAATCCAATGGCAGGTCTTTCACGTTTACTGATGCTGTGCAAGGCTGTTCTTCTGCTGGCCGTCCGTGCCTTGAAAGTGCACTGTGAACAAGAGGAAAGGCGCATTGTTGCATACCTTGGAAATTCGAGAAATCATCAACCCGGGGCTGCACTCTGCATGGCGCACGGGGAGCACAAAAGCTCCAGGCTGTTGGCGATGGATGGGATTCATCAGGGTGGGGGTTTCATGGCGACTGGCACCCGTCCATATTTAAGTCATTGGCTGCGCATGGACATGTCACCGCAGCACAGTCGGCCTGCAGCCCTGCAAGATACCGCTTGCCGATTCGACAAGGCACACCCCTTGCCGACAGGGCACAGCGCCCCCAGGCCGCCACAGGGGGTGTCGTTTCGACAGGCACGACCCCAGACCCTGCTGCAGTGTCCACATCCAATGCGGCCGCTACTGTTTGGAGGGAGCCAGGCCCTGCGGGAACGCCGGCCCGTGACCCACCAGGTGGCTGGTCAGGCGCGCATCCACGGAGATGCCTGCGGCGGCCTGCATGCCGAGGGCCGTGCCCGCCCCAGGGCCCCCCGGGGAGATGTCCAGGGCCAGGAAGATCTCGGAGGGGGTGCGACTGAGCGCCACGGAGGTGCCTGGTGTGCTCACCAGGATCAAGTACGCCTTGCCACGCACGACAGGCTGGTCCAGGAGGGCGCCGCACCCCTCGCCGCTGTCGCAAACCCTGCGCAGGGTTTGTCGATTGGGGGAAGGGAGAGGTTGGGGGGTGTTTGGCTGGGGAATGGGCATGTAAAGACGTTCACATGAAGAGTTTCGTGTGTGTGTGTGCGTGTGTGTGTGTCGGTGTCTGGAGGGGCCGGAAGGCATTGCTGGGCGTATGGCTTGCTGCAGAGGGCCCACCACCCCCGCCAAACCATGCATGCAGCCCCGGCCAGCACCTGATGGGCAGGAGGCTCTCCCCATCAAAGAGGGAAACCACTGTGGGGACGGTGGTGGCGTTGAAGCAGGTGGTGATGTCCACTTGGGTGCTCAGTGGCGGACTGAAGTAGAAGAGCTGGCCCAAGGGTGAGGGATGCCAGTGGGCCTCGTAAGGGATGCTGTTGATGCTGGGAACCAGCTTGCTGTCGTCAAACACAGCCATGACCTGTGGGGCGCCGGGAGGGGGAGCAGGTGCGTGTGGGTGGGCTGCTGGAGGATAGAGAGGAAGCATGAGGCCGGGTGTTGATTTGGCACAGGCACAGCATGCAGGCTGGCCAGCCGTGGGCTCATACTCCCACGAAAGCCTGCAATGGAGTCGCCGGGCGGCATCCCACCTTCTCGATGGAGAGGGCGTCCATGCCCACGGCAATGTCGCCCTCAAATTTGTTGGAAGTGCCGGGCACGACAAATGTGGTGACGGGGTACACTACAATGTAGTAGGCTGCGGGCAGGGAGTGTTGGGGCAGGGAGCTGTGCCGGTTGCATTGAGAGCTATCAGGGAGCCTGCAGCGGGGCAAGGGGCCCGCTCCACAATGCAGGAACGTGGCAGCATTGCCACGGCCAAGGCCTTCCCACTCACCGAGACAATCAGGGCAAAGCAACAAGCCACCACCCAGTGCCACATCTTCATCCACGACTCCAACTTACTGTCGCTCCCAGGCAGTGCGGCGACCAGCTGAGAGCAACCCTCCCCCAGCTCTGGCATGTGATGTACGAATTGCCTGCACGCAGTACGGTTGGGAGGACTTACGAATAGCATGCTGTGGAGCGATCCTTGTCTGGATCAGAACCTCTGGAACGATAGTGCACTGTGTCACCAGATGGGGACGCAACAAGTGCTCTGGAATCCTGTTCAGCTGCACGAGAGTCAGCATGACAGGACCGGTCAAAAATCTGACACCTGCTGGCACCACATTCCGACCCAACCCTTGCTCACGGGATCCGGGCCTCGGAGGTCCAGTTAGAGTTGTAGACGGTGGCGGTGAGGGAGCCATGGGTCATGGACGAGGTGACGGGGCACATCGCCATCGAGAGGCCCTGCGTGCAGGAGGATGTTGAATGGGGTGGACCCGGGAAAAAATGGGCCAAGGGAGGGATGGGTGCAGGGCAGTGCACCTGGGCCTCGAGACGGCGCGGCCTGGGAAGGGGGGGTGGCTCTGGTCTGCGAGCATGGCACTGACGTGCACAAGGGCAGGGCGGCGCAGAGGGCACGCCCCACACACCTCAGCGGCAGAGGGAGTGTAGGAGAAGTAGACGCCGGGGATGAAGGGCCCATTGGCGAATGTGATGAAGGGCGCCTGGGGGTTGAAGCTCTGATATACGGGAAGAGGGAGGCGTGATCAAAATTAGTTGCACAGTGGATCAGCATGGGACTGTGCCTCGTTGCAAGCATTGGCACCGCCCCGCGCCCAAACGCACAGGTGCACCTCAACCCTGTAATGTCCCGGTCTCCACTCCAGGTCCCCTCACCGAGATGCTTTCCTCAACCGCAAACGGAAGGCTGTCCACAACCACTGGATTGAAGAAGCTCGTCCCTTGCACGCCGCTCCGCACAATACCCCTGTGTGTGAACATGCATGAAGAAGGGGTGTACTCCAAGTGCGACCAGGCACCAGGGCAGCTGCAAAGAGCTGTGCAGGCCGGGGCGTACAACCCCTAATCCCTGCCGGGGAGTCTGTCGCCCAGGGAGCTGGGGCATGCCTGGCACCCAGGACGTCAGCACAGGGGCCATGTGCCCATCCAAACCTCTCACGTGATCGTCTTGGTCCGCGATCCATGCACTCCACTGGAAGACACCGTGGGCCATGTGAGGCTCAGCTCAAACGACTCGGCTGATTCCGTTTCAGGAATGGTATCCACTGCGTTATTGGGAGAGGTGTGAGACTCCATATGTCAGCATCACAGACCAACTTGGATGTAGGTGGCCGAACCACCCCATTCCGCTACACCATGGCTTGACAGTCGCTTGCTACTACACTCTGTCACATTGATGTACGTCCCCCAGGCCCTTCTCCCACACCACCAACACGCTGCCCTCACCTGCAGTCAGGTTGACATACTGCGGCGTGCTCCAGTTGCTGGCGGTGAAGGTCACAGATGAGGGCGAGACGCTGATCAAGGTCTTGTCCATTGAGGCGATCTCCACCGCGGTCGTGTGCTGTGATGCCTGCTGCAATCTGGGGAAGGCAAGGAGAACGCTGAACTGCATCATTTGGTCGAATGGCAGATTGGATTGGCAAGTCTGTGGCACAGGATGAGCAAGCAGCCCCTGTGGTGGTTATACAAGACTCAAACAAGTCAAGTACCCTCACACTACCCTTCTCCCCCTCATGCCATCTCTTACTGGATGGAGATGGCTGCGGGCCCCAGGGTGGGGTTCACCTCCGGCACAATGTTCCCGATGCTCAGCGTGGGCAGAGGGGGCGAGTAGGTCGTGTAGTCGGCGCTGCCTGGCTGGTCTACGGTGGCGCCATCAAACAGGTGGTACAGCCCACTGATCCAGGCCTGGTAGACAGATGTCGGTGTGAAGGTGGGGATTGTCAGTGCCTACCGCTTTTGGAGCCATACTTCAGCCTCCCAGCGCGGCACCAATCTTGGGCCGAGCATCAAGCAGGGCAAGGTAGTCAGGCCCGGGACCAGCTCACCCTTGCCAAGCGTCCAAATGTTAAGACGGGCGACTCATCTCCAAAGGGATCCTCGGGGTTGGCACAGTCTTCGCCTCCCCCGCTGGAGAGCACACCCACGACCCTGTGCAGGTCTACGCAGAATCGACCAGCCCATGCGTGGGACAAGTTCGTGAGACGCTATGCATACCCATGACAGATTGTATGGTCTTGTCAGGGCAAGCATTGGGGAGGGAAGATGCTACAAACCCAAAACACTGAGCGTGACCCCTCACTCCCTTCCAACTTACCATCATGCACGACGCCGCTACCACTGGCTCCCGGCTGAAGACTCCCGCTGTACAAGATGGTTTTGAAGTATCCGCATCGGAGTGAGGCACAGGCGGTGTCTTCTGACCAATCCACGGTTCCATTTTTGTAGAACACTTCGTATAGGAACGTATCAGTAACCCTGGAGAAGGGTGCGGGCGGAGGGGCCAGAGCATACGATGAAGGTGGGCAGGCACTCTGTTGCAGCGGGTTATCCCTCCAGTAGAGGAACAAGCAAAATCCATGTAGCAGGCATAGCTGCTTGTTGGGTACAATGCAAGAAACAAGCAGAGCCAGGCACCCGGGTCACCATCTCATGGCACCCCACTCCGAGAGTGCTCTGCTCCCAACGCACAAGCCTGTGGCAATCTTTTGCGAGTCCCCATGTGGCTGAGCGACATCCGTCCACGTAAAGTTGTTCAGCACGTTGGTTGCGTCCCAGCCTGGTGGGTGGGGGAAAGGGGTTAGGGGAGGCCGTTTGTAGACACAGGACCTTGTCCCCTCGAGGAACGTGCAGGGCTGATGTAGTCAAGGGCATGCACGGTCCAGAGTCCCAGGGAGGGAAGCCGTCATGAATCCCCATGCAGAATCATAGAATGCCCCTGCAGGCAAGCTCACCTGCCAGCATCACATTCCACTCTGGTGGGATGTCCTGCAGCAACTCAAACACCGCCACATCGCTGTTGATATCCTGGAATACCACTGAGAGGCCCTGCATGAAGTGGGAAAGCGAGCTCGCCATGGGCATGTCCAGGGCTCAGTGCTTGAACCCTGGAGGTGAACTCTTCTCAAGATGAGCTAGGACGTCTCAATCTACTTCCCTGTGCCCTGCAGTCGGACAACCTGCATCTGCATGCGTGCCTGAGTTGCTGGCCCCGCCCTACCTGCAGGAAATCGCTGAATGTCGCCGTGATATTGTCCACACGCGACGCGCCGCACGGCAGCTTGAAGTTGAAGAGAACTCCGTAGGAGCTCCAGGGGTAAACAAAGCTGGAGCTGAGAGCGGTGATGCAGTGACGGGCCGAGAGGATGTAAATTCTGTCACCAGGACCCTTGATGAGGGTACCTGAGGCAAAGGGAATGGAAATGCTCAGGGGGAAGATGGAGGTCTTCTGTCATGTGCATGTGTCGCACCAGACGCATACACGCCACCTGCTCCATACCGGTGCAAAAGTTGTTTGTCAGGGGTTGCGTCAGCTGCACCACCGACAGCTGCTGCGGCAGAGAGGACGGGTCGCAGGTGGCGTCCACACTGCAGCTCGCAGATTGAAAGAGGGAACCCACAATGAGCGCGTTCTCTGGGTTACGGGGATGAAATTGGGCGGCTGGACTGTGTGTGAGTCTGCTACATCATCTGTTTCATGATCAATGGAGCGTAGAAACACGGGCAATGTCGACCCCCCGGCTGACCCGAAGCTGTGCTAAGTGCGAAAGGGGACTTGAAGAAGCTATCGGTCTGGCATGACACCTGCAAGACGAGGGAATACGAGGGTTCTGTGAGATCAGGAGGTTGCGCTGGCCTCTCACAACGGGTTTAAAGGTAGGGTCGGGCCAATTGTGAACTCTGTAGACCGCCACGCCCGACACAGCATCTTGAGGGAAGGCAGCCGTTCCTGTGGCCGATCTCACAATCCGGAGCGACGTTAGCAGACACAAAAGTGTTGCGACAGTCTGCTGCAAAGCAGCACGACGCGCCGGCTTCATCACGAAGAACGCGACGTGATGCGGAGGGGTGTGAGGGGGAAGGCGGGGGCTTATACCGCCTCTCGGTGCTGCTTCACGCGGGGATGGGAGGGCCGTTCTAAATCGACCTTAAGCGTAATATTATCTCTGCCGAGATAAAGCTGGATGGAACGCGTTCCTGAGTACTCATATACTCCCAGCTAAGGGCAGAGGCCCTTGTTCCCCGGCTGCAGATCCGCGGCGAATGAGAAGGCCCCGCTTTCGTACGACGGAAGATGCGCCGGAGGACGCCGCGGCTGGACGGAGTGGATGCTGGTGCAGCAGGTGCTGGCCTGAGTCCGCGGTGCAAATTTTATCAGGTGTTGAGAGGTGATTGGGCAATGACGGGTTCCCGGTGCGGTTGTAAAGATGAGGTGTACGGTTAATAAAGGCGGCCCCGGATCCCGCAGAAAGAAAGGTGGGAAGCCGGATGCGAGAAATTTTCCACGGTACGCAGTTCTCGAAGCACATCAAGAGCTAGATTGTAAGGGATGAGCTGGCGTCAGACTGGTAAAACCAGACAACACCCGCTTGCAGAGAAGGGCCGGGCTTTCGGTCGGCCCTGTAGCTCGACACGGTCACTGTGCACCGACACGTGCATCGTTTGCCCATGCCTGCTGTGGGTGCACTTTCTGATGCAACGCCGTGCATTGAGCCCTGTATGACGAAGCTGCAACCAGTACCGAACCCGTAGCTCAGTTCATATACCGTTAAGATTTTCAGATCTGGATGAGCGATGGATTTCTTGAGTTAGCAATCGAGGCCCCGTAGCAGCTCGCGGCCGACATAACCACCTGACGGAAGTGAGATGAAGCATCGAGGATTGAGGGAGGTAACAATGTGAATTTGACCTAAAACAGGCACGAGCATCACGCATGGCCGTGGAAGCTGCGTGGGTGTAGCGCGATCTAGCCTCACCTCTTGCATGAAGAATGACAGTGGCAAGGACCACAAGGGGCAGGTGTACTGCAGGGGCTGCTTCATGATGCCAATCCGAGCTGGTATCGAAAGAGTAACTTCTGCTGTAAGAATACGGTTTTCCAGTGGCCTTCGTACAATTTATGTCGCTGAGCCTGCTAATAATTCCAATCTACACGAGTGTGTACTGGCACCCAAAGGCAGGTGTGAGACGAGATGTTTGGCACCCGGCGAGGTCTTAGCAACGGCGTGGCCTGGCTACGCACACTGCCGGTGGGCCCGTCACGCCCACCGTCGACCACTTGTGCAAGGACGAGGCTGCAGATCGGGACAATCTCGTGATTGTACTGTTTGCCAAAGGGGCATGTCAGCCTACCGACGCCTTGTCGGCATACCGATGAGTTTCCATCCGGACATTCAGGTCAGCAGATCTGACGGCATGCTCGGCTGCATTTAGCACCATGCACAGGGTTTGGCTCATCTTGTAGCCCGAGGGAGGGCGAGCGAGCGCCACCGTGCGGGAGGGTCCGGATGATTGCAATGGTGTCCTGATGTCCGACACTATGGTGCCTCACAGGGAAACGTTGCAAGCCATATATCGGTGCGATAAGCATAACTTGCAAATTCACAGGAGTACAGGAGTCTGGCCTGTGTTCAACGAAATCCGAGCCATGGCGCGGTCCAATTGCTCGGCCCGAGAATTCTCCACCGAGAAGCATATGTTTCCTGTAGCTGCATCGTCAGGTAGACGGCCGGGGCGCTACCCACCCTAAGTTTGAATGAAGGGGAGGTGCGTAGGTCAACAACCTTCTAGTGCTCCGTGTTGGTGTCACGACCACGCCCATTATTGCAATGCTGTCTGAAGGAAGGTGGCTGTGGTCAATATGCCATTCCGATCGCCGTAATCCCTACGAATGTACGCCCGCTTTACGACTGTATACTGATAGGATCGCATTCAATGATATTCTCATTCGATGCCACACTCTTGGTCCCGGTCTCAAAGCCTCCTCTGTCGCGACAATGTGCCGAGTATGATCGATTCACCGTTCCGTACCAAATGATCTGCCGAAAGCGAGGGTCCAAACATTTGCGCCAGTCGTCGCATCAAAGCGTGGCATCATTATGAGGAGCAGGTCAACGAAGCGGAGCCATCTGAATGCCCCATGCATACTGTATGGGCTCACAAGCGCCCCGGGGAAAGCTTCGCATCGGCACTGGAGAGAACTGTGTGGGGAACGCACAGATCAGAGTTACATTTTGTCTGACATCGCACAGCCTTTCGCTGAAAGAGCTGCGTGCGGTCGAGTGCTTGGGACCGATGGTTTTGGAATGAGTGAACTTCTTGCTCAAGAGTGTGCAACGTAAAGCAATGTCGTGGAACAGAGTTACCCCCATCACTCACACATTCCCCATACTACCTATCTGGGCGGACTGTACCCACCAGGCGCCTTGTACCATGAAAATTGGAAATCAAACGAGTTAGAGGACCATTGGAGTATACCTGGTGCATGTTTCATTGCAGCAGGCACCTTGTAGTGCCCTGGTGGCCATCCCCATGGTTCACCGCATGCGCATGGTGATGTATATTCCAAGACCTTGATCACGCGCAAGCCCTGCATTTTGACGATTTATTATCGGGCATGCTGACATCCCAGAGGGGCTGCACATGTCATGTCATTGTCACTTGAATGGCTATAGAACTTTAACATCTCGCACGTGGTTCAGCATCACGTGGGCTATACCACCCCTCTCCAGATCGGAGAGACCGGATCAGAGCAAAAGACATGTCCGTCCGTCCTGTGACCCACTCGTCCAGACACCGTTGGATCAACATATTTGAAGCTCAAACGAGGACCTCGTGGTCGATGGAGGCATCGCATGAGAGCCCATGGGGTGTGACGCTTTGCTTCAAGGACCCCCAGCTCGAGGCCGACTTTCATCGCGACCACGCAGTGCGACACCGCAGGGAGGATGCCATAGGGTCCTTCCTTGTGGCCCTGGTTCTGTATGTGCTGATTCTCCTGACGAAGGCAGCCATGGTGAGAAGTTGAGGAGCTTGCTGAGCATCCCAAAGTAAAGGTCTGCAATCATAGCGAAGTTTTGGCCATGTATACAGCACGTGCCGCCCCTCCACTGCACCAACACAGACAGACCAGGCATGGGCTATGCCAATGGATGAATTGAGACCCATGGGCATGTTTGCCACGGTGGAGGTGATGGGTTTGCCAGATTACTCTTTTGTTGGGGGGGGCCACATGGTTGGGCTGATGAGGCATGGACCTAACTTGCACATTTTATGTGGACCAACCACTGGGTCCCTCCTAACCTCCAGGATTGGACTTTCGCCAAGATGCACTTATCCGTCTTTTGCAAACAGCTCTCAGGGCCGTTTTAGGGTTCCTCAGTGCCAGACCAGCTCGCACAGCGCCACCGGATCTAGCCCCAACCAGCAGCCACAATCTTCGTGCTCACCTTAATTTGCCCACCTTGCCTTTCCGCACGCAGGCAATTCCCGGCCTGCTGGCAGTCCTGCTCCCCTGCCCCATCTACCTTCGCCACCGCACCCAGATCCACCAAGCAAGTCTCCTGTCCACAGCCGCCATAATGCCGTTTTATGGCTACCGGCGTTCGTCGGACTTCATCTCTGGAGAGAAGGACCCCAGGCTAGCGGCCATGCGTGCTGCCTCACGCTTGGCAGGCAACTCCAGGTTCATTTACATGCTATTCGAGCTTCTAGGGCGCCAGCTCCTCCTGCGTCACCGCCTCCCCTGCCTGTTGCCATGGGCATGGATGGCGCTGCAGTGCAACATGGACTACTGCCGGGTGCGGGCCTTCACGGATGCCAGCGGCGCAGCCATACACAATGCGCAGGCCGCGGTGATACGCGTGGCCAACATCGGGCTGGGCGAGTGGCCCCCTGGGGCACTAAGGTCGCAGACCCAGGCTTGCGCGGTTGTGACAAATTGGTGGTTCCTGGTCATGGGGCTGACCTTCCCAAACGTCTTCCTCTATACCATGGGTGTGATGGGAGATGGGGTTTGCATGGGGAAAGAAGGCCATGAGAGAGGGACTCAAGCGCCAATCGTATTTTGAGTGGACACCCGACTCCTGGGTGTACGTCGCAGGCTGAGAGATCTGGAATCTGCAGAGAAGACCCGACCAAGAAGTGGCTGCATGCACACCCACCCTGTGGCCCCGCCCAAATCCAACTTGCAGAAGTGCGCGAGCGCTCAAGATATCTTTTGGAGCGCGGGCTGCCTCCGCCCAGGCTCAAGCTGAGCAGGGCCTTCTCAGAGAATTTTCTGCTCCTGCCCTCGGTCGTGGGAGCCATGTGGCTGCTGGCAAATGCGCTCGCCGCCGTGCCACCAAACCAGCTGAGCTCCCTCTTTGCGCGATGGAACGCCTATCTCATGCAGACAAGCGTCCCGGAGATCAGATGGTGATGGAGCTCTGGCATAAGCCTGCCAAGGCGGGAGAGGGTGTTCCTTCCTAGTTCGCTAGTGTACGCACAATGATGAGTAGACGTTAGGGGTCCTGGAGTTGAGCAGGGGCCCCTTGATAGGAGACAAGATGACTTCGTACCTGCCCTGTGAGACCTTGTGCTTGCAGGGGCCAATCAGGTTGTTGGCATTCTACCACCTCCTCCAACAGCCGTTGCAGCGTCACCCTCTTCGGGTGTGGGGAGGTTTTTGAGGGAAACTGACAGAGTGAGGTCCCAGGAAGGCTTAAGATCAAGAGATGGACAAACTTTGGCAGAGAGAAGCACTGCAAGACCAGCACTCAGTCATTCTGCAATGCAGATACGTTGGAATGTACACCCCCTGCACATGCCCAAGGATATCCATGGTGCGGGAAGGGCCTGTTCAGAGAGAGATTGTTGTGTGCCCTTCTTATCCCTGCCTTTTTCTCAATCCCTCTCTGCCATTGATTCGCAACTGCTCCCACGAGGCGCCTTGGATCTTGGATCGTAACATCTAGAGGCGGTCAGCGACTGGTACCGCAGGACTTCGGTGCAGCTGCATTGTGCAGTCCACTCTGCCAGGCGCCACATGGCGGTCTCTGGAGGGCATTCCAGCCTTGGAGTGCGTGTCATGCATGCCGTTGTACAAAGTATGTGCAGTCGCTTGGATTTATGTTGGGCGCAGCAACAGCGGAGCTGGTGATATCAGCCCAGACCATGGTGGGAACTGCTTGTAAATCAACAGCTCCAATTACAAAATCTCCATGTCAGGGAAAGCGTAAGGGTATCTTGCCTTGATGGCTAAGGTTGTTTTGCATATTAAGAACGGATCCCTCCGCACCAAAACCCTGACCGTTCATATTCATCGTAGGACAGGGAATTCACAAAATTATGATGCAAGCAATCTAGATGCACGCCGGTCATCTCTTTCCTCCACCGGCCAGAGAGAGTAGAGTGCAGAGCTTCCACGGCAAAGTCCCAGTTGTCATGGAGAGGTGAGATGCCAGAGTGAGAGCAATCCACCTCGTACTCACAGGTCTTGTTGAACCACTCAAATCTCCCGCAGGCAGCGGGACCCCACGCAGCGGGGGGGCTTGCAGTCGCCGTTGTCCTTGCGCCCGTTGGGGCAAGGCTTGGGCCAGCAGTTGCCTTTCTTGTCCTTGCCGTGCTCACAGTGGTGGGGAGGGGGCTTGCAGCGGCCGTCCCTGTCCTTGCCGTGCTCACAGTGGTGGGGAGGGGGCTTGCAGCGGCCGTCCCTGTCCGTTGCCGTGCTCACAGTGGTGGGGAGGGGGCTTGCAGCGGCCGTCCCTGTCCGTTGCCGTGCTCGCAGTGGTGGGGAGGGGGCTTGGCGGCCGTCCCTGTCCTTGCCGTGCTCACAGTGGTGGGGAGGGGGCTTGCAGCGGCCGTCCCTGTCCTTGCCGTGCTCACAGTGGTGGGGAGGGGGCTTGCAGCGGCCGTCCCTGTCCTTGCCGTGCTCACAGTGGTGGGGAGGGGGCTTGCAGCGGCCGTCCCTGTCCTTGCCGTGCTCGCAGTGAGGCTTGGGCTTGTCTTTGTCCGAGGGCAGGCCCGAATCCTTCCCAGGGAGCTTCAGGGATGCATCACCAGTGTCCTTGGGGACGACAACCGATGGCAGCAAGGTGGCTATGCCTGGTAGAGTGCCACACGGGGAGATGGAGTGAGGGAATATCACAGGAAGATTTGCGATTGAAAACCTCAGTTAGCATTTGGGCTCCTAAGACGACGTACCACCAGATTTTCCCGACGTAGAAGTCCCAATGGTGGGGCGGAGGGCGTCTCTTGTGAGATCGGGCGTAGCTGTCTTGATGTCAGCTGCGTCGGCACTCGTCTCCGTGCCTTGCAGGAGTTCGCGACCAGCAGACTCACCTGGGGAAAACGAGCCGAATATGAGGACTCTGAGCGAGAAAGTTATGCGCATGTAGTCCGCATTGATTGCATGCAACGCGCATAGGGTTTATAAGCGACGCACGTTATGCGCAACCGAAACTCACATCTCGATGGAAGGATCACAGCTGTAAGGACCGCAAACACCAATATGTACTGGAGGGGCTGTTTCATGACGCCTGCCTTGAGCTCGAATGGATGCAATGAGTTCCTCTGAAATATGACACTCATCGCATCGGAAACGTGCCATTTATCATGCTGGTCCTTTAGATTTCCTGAACCTGCAGGAATGTGAATCTGCACCTGGCAGTAGGTATATCCAAAGATCTTGGGCAGTCTGTGGGGTCCCAGCATCGAGGTAACCTGACAATGCGCATCTCAGGGATACTCCTTACGGCTGAGGCCACTAATTTGGAGGGAGACACGGACGCAGAGGCGGCAGACTCCCTGTTAGTACCGTGGCCCAGATGACACGTCACCCCAACGACACCTTCCTGGCATGTAGGCGAGAAGCCATCCTGACGCCAGACTCAGCAAATCTGGAGCATGTTGACTGCATGCAGCATCGTGCAGAGCTTTTCACCACTCTTGTAGCTCGAGGACTGGCTCAGCAGACTTCATCCTGGGATAGGACTGGGACAGCAGCAGTGATGCACTCCAGACCGGCGATAGGGTGCGCATCATGCATAAAGGTGGAGTTAAGATCCTAGCATGAAACTCCAGATGTCAAGTGCATTGAGGGGATGTAGAAAAGCGGTCGAAGTCCATCCGCCCCATGACTCCCGCAGGATGCGGTCGGTCGGCCCGAGAACTTCGGTCGGCGAAGTATACGCCGCCGCGTCCTTCGGCAATGCGCGCAGCGCATTACCATCCCAGATAGACATTTAAGCCAGGATAGTTAGATATCACCACTTCATTGTGCGGTTTGAGTCGTTTGCGCGCAACTCCACGCGAGATTCTGTGTCGGTGAAGGTAATGGAAGTCGAGCGCCAGTCCCACTCGACCAGCTGCCCGCCACGGCAGTCGCAGTGATCCGGTGCTCAAGCTTACTGGCAGACGCTAACATGCTCGAGACCACGCTTTAACCTAAAACTGCCCTCCGGGTCAACCCATACATGGCTCCAAGCTCTCAAACGGCTGATTCGCAGCGTGCGTACCAGCCGGGACAGCACACTCCTTATGACAACATCCTGCCTCCGTACCATCGCCCCAGTATCGCATCTTTCGAGTGTACGCCGGCCGACTCACCAACTGAAGCATCGTGATTCGAGCACGTCGAAGAGCCGTGGCACGATGCATGGCTCATGAAGAATAAATCGGCGCGGAAGCGACTGGGTGAACGACTCGCAACTGCCTTGGGAAGGACAGCACGGCGATGGCAGCGCCACGTGTCACCTGCTGTTCCTCCTTGGCAGCACGAGGAAATTGCACGTGCAGTGCGACGCGTTTCAAAGGTACAACGACCATACACATTTCATTCAGAGTTAGGGTCGCATGGAGGTCAGGGGTCTGCAGTCAGGCCGGCGTGTTTCCATGCACCGATTCATGCAGGAGAGGCAGGGGGCCCTGAAGGGGCATCTCCCAGGGCATGATGTGGCTGATGTTCCCAAAAAGCTGCCACACCACCCCGGGTTGCGTTCAGGGTCCACAGATACGAGGCGTCGTCAGGCCGAGACACACCGACCCCTCTCGTCTGTGCCGAGGCTGCAGCACTGGAGGCCGGTGGCGTCCCATGCAGGGCACTGTGAAGCATGGCAATCGCCATTCGCATCATAGCCATACTTGCAGGGGTATGGGTAGCACTCGCCGCCGGGCCCCCTAGGGTACTGGCATGCCTCTGCGTAGCAAGCGCCCCGCTTGTCGTGACCAAACTCGCAGTACTGGGCGAAGCAATCGCCGCTCGCGTCCCGACCCCAGGCGCAAGGAGAGGTATAGCAGGCCCCCGAGGGCTGGCGGTCCCAGCGGCACGCCGTGGCGCAGCAGGTACCGTTTGGGCACCTGCCATGCTGGCAGCCGGTGGGGTAGCAGGTGCCCCCCGGCTGGCGACCATGGTCGCAGTCAGTGGGGAAGCAGCTGCCGTATGCGTCGCGGCCGTAGTCGCAGTCGGTGGGGTAGCACCTGGAGGTGCTGGGGTTCCTCCCATAACGGCAGGTGTTGCAGCCATAGGGCGAGCAAGGGTTGAGACCCTCGGCCGGGCTGATGGGTGGTGTCTCGGTGGGCAAGCCCATGGCAGCTTGGGATGGCAGCGGGTCAGCAGCCAGGGCTGGGGCGGAGTCTCCTGCTGTTGGCCGACTGCTTGGCAGAGTCGGTGGTTCTCCTCCTGCATGTGTGGGATGATGAGATGGTAGTTGAAGATTGGCGTTGGATTCTGAGTAAGCACCAGTAAATGCTCGCCCAATGGTCCGCGGCAGCAGATCCCTACCCCACGGTTTTTGGGTAGTCTTCACACAGCGCCCACCCACGCACCCGCCGGCGAAGGGGTGATGCTGGTGTCCGGAGCGCCCCGAAAGCTCGGCTCCGGGATGAGGGGTGGGGAGGTCAGGTCTACCAAGGCCACAGAGGGGATGGGCGTAACCTGCTTTGTTTCGGAGACGGCGTCCACGATGGTCGTCGGGGGTGATGGACTGGCATCCATACCCTCGAGGACTCCCCGACCTGCCGCTGAGCCTGTGGGTTATAAAGGGGAATAAGAAGACACTGGAATGCCATTTTGCAACCCGCAGCCCACCATGCGGTGCCCGTCTTCCAGCCCGCACTCACAGGCCACGAGGCAAAACCCCAGCTGCGCCAAGGTTAAACGGGGCCGCAGTGACGGGCCCATGGCCGCATGCAAAGCCAAGGCATGTCAACAGCTCCAACATGAGATGTAGTGCGCGTCGCTGACCTCATGGACCTCGCGACGTGTCTCCGACGAGGAGCACTGTGCGGTCCCCTGGGAAGGCTCCGGCATCTGGGTGAAGGTGTGAATGGGCAGGACGAGACACCAACATACACTCTCGAGATTCAGCTTGCAGCCTGTTTACCAAATTTTGGTGAGCCTGGAGGAGCGAACAGTGTTCGGGGTGAACAAGTACCTCGACACCTCATCAACGCTGCTGTAGCGCGCCGCCACCTTTCGGAAAATGCCATCTCGCTGCCCCAACTGACAGCAGGGTCGGCAGTTGCAGCTCAATCTTGCGACTCGAACGCCCGCATGTTTATCTCGTGGGTTTACGCCTCAACATCATCGGAGTGCAGAGACGATGATTGTGCAGCCGAAGCTCACGTTACCCTTCGTTGCCGGTTAGGCTTATCTGTGGCAGGATGATTGGCACTGCATAGACCCAACTCAAGGGTGTGATTCAAGCCCCAGTAGAAAGTCCTTCCGCCCCATCACCACTCGGGAGGTCTTGGAACCTCGTGGAAGACCAGAATCCACAAAGATTGCGGTTCGCGGTTATTACAAAGAATGTTGGCCAGTTCATTTGGGGGTCATGCATGGCCCTGCAGACGGGCGTCAAGCCTTGTGGTTCGTCAGTGTAGAAGATCAAATATATCCGTAAGAGTCGTGGCGATGAGCAGGCGTTGTGCCTGCATGATTCCTCGCGCTGAACCAGGGGGCACAGTTTGGCTCCTCATGCCACATCTACACTTTGCACCTCCCGATGCCGCCGAGGTCCATCGTACCACATGAAGCCATTCCACCAGGAGTCGATCCATCGCTCCCCGTCCCAGTACCCTTCCCTCCAGCGACGGCCGTCCCAGTAGCCTGTGCACCAGGTGCCATTCGCGTCGTAGAATCCTCCAGCGGTTCCCGCCTCGATCGATGGCAGGTGATGTTCGTCTGTGGCGATTTATGCGGGCGGAAACATCTTGCAAGGAACTCACGAGGCCAGGCTTGGTGGATAGTGCGTGCCGGCCATTGAATGGATGGTGTGCCATGGCTCGTCCGCCCTGAGAGACAACCCCCAGCGCGCGCCCGACACTTACCACTCTGCAGCGCGCCATCATCAATTCGGATGATGAACTCCCGCCGGTAGGCCGCTCGCAGGGACTCGTCAACGATGTAGAGACGAATCCCGTCACGCCACACCTCTCCATCCCATGCCGCGTCCACCCAGACCTCTCCACCAAAGTAGCCCTCCCGCCAGCTCTGGCCGTTCCACCAGCCGGTGCGCCAGAAACCCTGAGCATCGTAGAAGCCGCCGGCGGTCCCAGGCTCTGGTTTGGGGATCCCTTCCTCTAGATCATAGGGATCTGACGGCATAATGGTGACTTCCTGTCGCACCACCTCGCTAATTGACGCGTCATGCGAGTCGCTTTCGGACGCTCAGAGAATGGGAGTCCGACAGTTCCACGCGACGAGCTTTCTCATCTACGAACATTCAAATCCTCATTACTATGGTGTGCGGGGGTCATGCAGTCCGGGAGGGCGTGAATCCGCTTGTTGGCGAAGGGGGTAGCAGCTGTGCTGCGTCGGTTCCGGTTGGTTCAGTTGAGTGGAGCCACGGCTTCCCGGTACTTTGTGAAATTGTGGGATCCATGTGAAGTGTAAACCCGCGCCGTGAGAGAGGTGTATACATTAGAGAGCAGCGTCCAGATCATCCCGAGAGATTGAGGCCTTGATGTCGAGCACTTGTACATCGTCGTCATTTGTGCCGGACAGCCGTCTCCGCCAAGTCTGTCACATTAGAGCATCACCCACCCATGGCATGGATCGCAGCAGTGCGATACAAGTGTATCATGCAAAGTGTGCACATGTTGTAAGTGGTTGGCACTATGAGATGACTGGGTGCACCCATGGTCCTTCTGTGGATCGCATCGTATTCTGCGCCTTGGTTGATTCTGCCCCTCAGATTCACGCGATGTGTCCACATCCGACCAGACTGTGCACTCCTTCTTCACAAAATCCTTAAAAGCTCCAACACATTGAATATCTACATGAAGTGCTCGACTTGTAGCCCTGCCCTTTACCTCGCCCCAGAAGGCGTTCGACCCTTTGTCACAGCTCTCCCTCTCCCCTTCCAGTCGACAACCTCGCGCTTCAGCCGCAGGCGAGCAATCTTCTGTGCTGCTTCATGACATCGTGGCAGATTTATTTCCATCTGGGCAGTGATCATTTTTTTTCTCCACCTCGCAGGCTACGTGCCCCATCCGAACGGCCACGTGCTCCAACCCTGCGAGTCCAGGCCATGGCCTCCAGCGGCGCAGTGAGGAACGAGGACGTGAAGGCAAGATGCCGTGTGGAGGCAGCCCTGCTTCAATTCTTCCGTGCTGTCTGGGGCTGCAGCGCCACTGAATCCCTAGGGGTGCCTTTTGCACATGAAGGTCGCTGCAGCCTGGTCCAGCACGCATACGCCATTCTCCCTTTCTTTCCAGGGCGACCTGCTCAAGCCCAGCATGGTCAACACCCCAGTCTTCAGAGTCGTGGCACTGGCCGCCTCCGTGCTTGCAGGCGCCAAGTCTGGGTCGGTGCTGGGCCCTCGTGGCCTGGCCTTCCTCCACCTCAGCACGTATGCTGTATCGCTTGGCACCCTGACGTGGGTCACCTTCATCGCAGGCAAGGCGGGGAATGGGCAGGGTGCTTCGAGTGGATGGGCATGACGGTTACGCACTGAGGGTCCTGGTATACCGGTCGCCTCCATGCATCGCCAGCCCTGGGAAGAGGGAACTACTCTGGTATGAATCTTGCGCAAGGACCCCATGTTTGGGCCTGCCTTCCAGAGCGACTAGAACCTGTGTTCTAGAGTGCAGAACCGACGTAGACTATGCATGTATGCACATACATTGTTACATGAGCCAATGAATTGCCCCCCCCCCCTCCCCTCACCTCTCACGTGCTTGTGCCTCATCAACAGGCATCGTCATGTTCAAGAACCTGCCTCGACAGACCTTTGGGAAGGTGCAGGCCCGCCTCTTCCCCTTCTACTTTGCCCTCACCACGCTGTGCACGCTGCTCCAGCTGGGCACGCTGTCCGTGCTCAGCGGGGGAGCGCCCCTGCCCCGCACCCCCCTCATCCAGCTGGCCGTGGGAATCGCGGCGGGGCTGGCAAACTGGCTGGTGGTGGAGCCACACACCACCGGAATCATGTTTGAGAGATATGCCCTGGAGAATGCAGAGGGCCCCCGTGACAATGGTGGGTGGGGGGGGTGGGGGGTGGGGGGGTTGGTTGAGGGACAGGAGGCAGCGAGGGGTGTGAGCCTTACTTTTGTGCGACCGCGTAGTGAATAGGAACCATGCATGGTATGCCTGCGTCCAGTCGTTATCCTGTGGCCGCAGAGCCCATGCAGGTGCCCTGAAGACTTCCCTCCGGCGATGCGGTTCACACATCCAAACTCCCACTCCCCACCCTCAAACCAATCGCAGACAGGATCAAGGCTCTGTACAAGACGTTTGGCGCGTGGCATGGCTTCTCCTCGGTGCTCAACCTTGCAGCGCTGGTGGCCGCAGTCGCGTACGGCTGGACGCTGGCCGGCTGGCTGCACGTGGCCGCGTAGCTTGCTTGGCCGGTGCTGCCTGCTGCGCCCTTGTACTGCGTACCTCGTCTGACCCCCGCACGTGTCTGGTCATGACAATCCTGTGTTGCCTGATGTCGGAGATTAGGCGGGTGGCAGCGGCACACCGCCACCCTGCAGTCATCCAGAGGGAGGACCCAGAAACCTCCTTCAAAGCACAACCCAACCCAGCGGGGGGCACACCTCAGCGCAGCCCGCCCCCCAGCCGGTTGCTCCTGCTGGTCTGGGACTGCCCGACGTGCAGCACCCCCGCCCAGAGGGCACGCAGCGGCAGGTCGGGGGACTGGCCCATCAGCGCCTGCATCGCCTCGGAGCACAGGAAGCCCTCCAGCTGCTCCTCCTCGGGGAAGCGGGTGATGAAGACGACGTCTGGCAGGATGGCCGCGGGCGCCAGCTCCCCGGCGCCGCCTCCTGCAGGGCCAGACCGCAGCTGCTCGGGGTCATGTGCCCTGTGGCGCACCGGCCCGACGCTTTGCACGCTTTGCACCGCGCCATACACCGAGGACTCTGCCAGGTCGGCCACGCCGGACAGCAGGTCGGTGGCGGCCACCGCGGCACCATGGCCGCCGCCCGCACCCTGAGGCAGGGCAAAGCCCAGGACCAGCTCGACCCCCGCCTCCCACTCCTCGCCGCGTCGGAAGAGGGTCTCCAGGTCCCTGGGCACCCGGGTGTCAAAGGTCAGCGTCCAGGCACAGAGAGTGGGCGCGGTGGCGGCGAGCCCCGGGGCGCCGCCGCCGCCCTCCAGCACGCTGGCGAAGCGGGGATGGGAGAGGTAGGAGGCGCGCCGCTGCGGGTCGGCGAAGCGGCTCATCACGCCGTGCTGGAACGGTGCGCCACGCAGGGCGGGGGCGCCGGGCGTGGAGCCGGGGCCCCCGGCCGGGGTCCAGGAGCCGGCGCAGGCGGTGATGGGGCCGGGCAGCATGTACTGCAGGGACCACAGGCTGTCACGGGTGGCCACCGGCGTGGTCTGCAGGAAGGAGGAGGGGGTGGGGGAAAGGGTTTAAACGGTAGCAAAGCGTAGGAGTGAAGGGTGCTATTTTGGCCTGGCGGACGTACCGGCCCATCAGCCATGGGGTGAGCGGCCCCAATTGTCCAGGGGTCCCAGCTCCAGATCAGTCTGGCCGGGCGGGATGCCATGAGACCAGTGTGTATATTAACCCATCCCCTCCCTCCGATCCTTACCTCGGTCTCATCCCATTGCGAGTCGAAGGCCAGCAGCGTCAGCGCTTCATGTGTGATGGTGGTGTGGCGGGATGCCCGAGGGGGGTGCCCGCAGGCACGGCGGGGGATCACATGACGCTCAGGGAGGAAGACATGGCGAGATGCATGAGTGAATGCGGTCTCACATCGCCAACCTCGCATGATAATCGGGAGCATGGAAAGGTGCTTGCTTCATGCAGGGCCCCCCCCCCCCCCCCCCGCATGTACCCAGGGGCAGATTCTACGGGCAAAAACTGGCGCGAGGATCTGGACTGTAATCTAGTTCTGGGCATGTCAGTCCACCGAACCTACTTGCCTTGGATTTATATTGCTTTCAGTCCATGCAACAACTACTTGCTCGACACGCTTGTTACTGGGCATCGCCGTGATCGGAGAAGCACCGCTGCATTCAGTCTGGAAGTCGGGTTTCGCAGACGTAACAGCCCACAGGCTTGCCCTTGGCATCCCCCGATTTGAAGACGCGGCACACATGCAACTCATGCCGCTGTCGGCAATGAGCTCGTCATTGAAGCCCGCTCCTTGGGGCACCTGGCGCTGCGGCGTGGCACCGAGGCGGGTCCCACACCTGCCCCGTGCAGTGTCGGAGCCTCGCCAGCCAGGATCCAACCACGCCACGGGTCCCAGCCCCGCAGTCATGACTGACGCCACCGTGCCAGAGGGCCACAAGTCCCTACATGGCGCGCTGTATGGTGAGGGGGGTGCGGAGGTGCACTCCTCCCGCAAGGCAGGATACCAGCTCATCCCGGTGAGGACGGCCATGGGGTTTATTTTCGGACACCGGGCACCGGCTCACAGGGGGCACTGCATGGTGGAGCCGCCGATCTCGATGCCGTTTCCCATGTTGCATTGTGGAGTGGCCCTTGTAGATTGCCATGTGATCATCCCCATCCCGTGCTGGGTCCCCCCCCCTGACTGGCTGTCCTGACGCCCACAGGGCGAGGACGACGGCGATGTGCTCATACCCGTGGATGCCTACCTCGGGCACCGCAACGATGCCAGCCTCCTCGGCGTCTATGCCCTGTATGACGCCAGCGAGACGCTGCAGTACGTCGGATTCTCCAGGAACATGTGCCTGGCAATCAAGGTGGGCCGAGGGTGCTCCTCGGGGGGGGAGGATGGTGCATGGGAGATCAGCGATCCGGAGCATGCATCATGGTCGAGTGTGATCATGCACCAGCTGCAGTACCGCAGCCAGTGCCTGCTGCATGGACCCAGGACCCCTCCTCGCATCATCCACCGCCCCCTCAATGTGTTCCCCGTGGCGCTCCACCCTTCCACCCACCAAAAAAACCCACGACAATGATCACCAGGGCCACAGATCCCGGGTGGGGAAACGGCTTGCCGCCCACGTGCGTGCCAAGGTCGTGCAGAGGACCAGCCTCCAGTCTAAGGCCGCCCTGAGCGCCGAGGCCCAGCGTTGGATCGAGGAGGCTGATGTCCTGCCCCCAGGTGCGGGACGTTGATCTTTGGTGCGTGTGCGCGCCCATAAACTCAATGCCTTTGTCATGCCTCTGCCCTTCGCTGGGCTTGGAAAAGGGGCAATATTTGAGCACGACTCCGCGAGCTCCCTAACAAGACACCCTTGGGCATGAACCCTGCCGGCACGGCCCCCTCCCACACGCCCCTCGAAACGACGTCGGCGCTGCAGGGAATGGCGAGAATCGTAACGAATGGGAGGGCACGGGACTCGATGTGAGCCTGATGTCTGAGGAGGCTCGGGAGGCTCACCTGGAGCACAAGCTCAAGTTCAGGCTGGTGAGTGGGAGATGGTTGGCTTGCAGGACTGCACAGGCGGCTTGCTGGGCGGGAATGCGACGAGCAAGCGCACTGCTGCATTGCCGGTCCTAAACGTTCCTGGGTCGTGTGTGAAATGGTGTGTGCCACAGGTGCCCAGCAGCAGTCCACCAGCCAACCCGATGCACTCCACAGGCCATGGGGGAGAGCATCGACGAGGAACCTGCCACAGATGACGATGCCGTCCGGCGACTGAAGCTGCTGAAGGTGGGCGGTGGGGCTCTCTGGGCCGAGACTCGATGAATCTTGGCGCCCGTTTTGGCCAGGGGCAGATGGCAGGAGATGGGTTCAAGCAGGCATGCATCGCAGGACCGCCGCCATGCACTGCCGGGAGGATTGCCTGCCCTCCCGATCGTAGGGGGTGCACCCCCCTTAGTGAATCATGTCTCACACCATGCCTGTATCGTCCCTGCAGGCCGTGGAGGGCGACGACTGGTCGGCTGTGATCGACAGGCAGACCGAGGAAGTGGCGGCGTCCCACAGCGCAGACCTGGCGGATGCCGCGACGCCCCAGAGCCAGAGCTCTGAAGGTGGCAGTGCACATGGCGCCGCACAGCCCCCCCCGCCGATAGCCTCACCCTTCACCCAAGCTGCCGTGCATCGCCAAGTGAGGCCACGGGGTGGGCGTACTGAGGGGAGTGATCACACTGTCTCGTGGCCGAGGGATCTGAAGAGGAAGCGCTGTGTGAAGGCGTGGTGCACCCAGCTTGTGCTGTCACCGACGAGCATAGGGCATTCCTTTGTGTCAATATGAAGGTCCTATGGCTCTTCCTTGCATGCACCCCCTCCAGTGCACCAGCAAATATAGTACCCTTATCCTCTTCCCCATGAGCCCCCCCACCTCCCTCCCTCATCCAACCCCCCCAACTGCCTCCGTGGCGTCCACAGGTCGGCAACCAGGAGCCGCAGCCCCAGATCCCGCTCAATGCCGAGACGGTGGACCATGCGCTGAACGAGGTTCGCCCCTTCCTCATTGCCGACGGCGGGAACGTGGAGGTGGTGTCGGTCAGCGGCGGGGTGGTCTCCCTGGAGTTCCAGGGGGCCTGCGGCACCTGCCCCTCCTCCTCGGCCACCATGAGCATGGGCATCGAGAGGTGCCTGAGGGCTACCTTTGGCACCCAGATATTGCAGATTGTCCAGGTGTGCGCGTGTGGTGTGTGGTTGAGGGGCCCGTGAGGCCGGGCGGGAGGTTGATCCGACAGCGACATGAGGAACGGGGGGAAGGGCCAGGGAGTCTGTCGGGCAGCGACACCCCCGCCATGTCCCAGAACTCTACACCCACATCACTCAGGTGAACGCCCAAGACACGGGGGCTACGGAGGTCAGGGTGGACGACCACTTGAACATGCTGAGGGGGGCCATCCAGAGCTATGGCGGCAGCGTGGTCGTCAAGTCGGGTGCGTGTTGTTTCTCTTTTTATTGCTTGGGGGGGCGCCCGCTGACAGATGCTGAGTGTGTGAGAGCAACCCCCTTATCTGTCGGGGTCGACCCGAGGGGTTTTGGTGCTTTGATCGCTCAGCATGCATGCCCCTTCTGAGTCTCAGCTGATGGTGCAAGGGCAAGGAGCCCGGGACAGCGCAAGTAGGGGCAATCCAGCAGGCCTCTAGCTAGGCGTGTTCTCAACTTGTCCTGCCCACATCAACCCTCCCAAAATCCCTGCCATGCACAGTCAGCGAGGGCGTGTGCAAGCTCCTTTACAATGGCCCACCGGCCATCGCAGTGGGTGTGAGAGCAGCTGTCCGGGACCAGTTCCCAGATCTTCAGGAGGTTCTGCTACTGGACTCAGAGACAGGCGCACCATTGAAGCTTTAGTGTGATTCCTTATCAAGGCATGGTAGCCCCCTCACCCAAATTTGGCATCACTGCAGCCTAGAGTGATGCTGTAGGTTGTAGCGAATCCCCCGAAGCAACATCTTCCATGTAAGCTTTCTCTGCAAGAGGCACAGTGACCTGGATGGTGATCTAATATGCATACTTTAGGTTGCTCAGGAGGCATGCAATGCCCCCCTTCCGACACAAGTTAAAGATCCAGTTTCGAGGTTTCATGCCCGGGCGTACAATTCAAACTGCATGGCAGAAACCAGCACGGTCGAGATCCAGAGGTGCATGTGCTGGACCATTTCCATGGGTGATGCAAGCGGTCTGTCAATCTCGCTATGAGGAAAATAGAACAGCCAGGCAATCGTCGCACATGGGGTATCCACGACGTCCCGAGATCATGCAAGGTCGTGCGGGGCCCACGTGTGCACAATCTCTTCATGAGGACACCGCGTAAACTCGCGTCTCACGGTCATGGGACACTCGGGCAGGTCGATGATCTACCTCCAGCAGTATTTGGGGCCATGACACGGTTGTTCAGGTCTCCATTTATTCCCATGACTTTGCCTAGACTTCCCCTCGCCCCATGAGCCACGTGCACGGACGATCCGGTGAGAAATTGCCGCGTGGACCATGAGCTCCCAACCATGCGGAATGCTTCCCCGCCTGCTGGCCGTGTTGACCCCCGAGAGGTCTCCACTTAAGCCAGGCAGCTACACCGACGGTCTACCTACGACTTTAAGCCACGAGCAAGGCTCATGCGCAACCCACACCCGCATCTGTGAGACTGGTGACCCTTGCCCCTCGACCGCGTCTGCCGGCACAAAGGCCAAGCGGGAGGCAAGAAGTGTCCATGGCCCGCTATGATACCATTCTTGTGCTATTTGTATGCATGACACTGTCCTTCGGGAGTGGGCGAAGACTGGAGGACTCCCTACCGGACGACGCGGCGGGATACCTGGCGAGCGCCAGGAGCAGGCGCTTGCAACAGTCCTGCTCATCCTGCCCATCCAACGGTGCGCGCTATGAGGGTATCATGCTGGTAACAGGGGTGTTACGTGCCCTTGAGGAGTCGCATGTCGTCATGCGCACCGAGGTCAACCTCACTCTGTACGGGCTCGTGGATCTCGGCGACGATTTGCCTCCGCGCTCCCCGTCCATCGCAGCTGCTGCCGTCTGCTCAGGACTGACATCCAGCGAGCAGACTGATATTCGCAACACTTTAGTGAGCAGCTGTGGTGGTACTCTGTCCCCCAGTGCCACCTCCGGGAGCTGCTGCAGCGCCATCCCCTCGGCTGGATCCGCCAGGACCAACTATCTGGCATGCTTGTGGTGAGTGATCTGGGATATGGAAGCCATGGGAGCGTGTCGAGGCCTTGGTGCCAGCCTCGTCTCCCGCGCGCCGCCTTGCAAAGTCTGATCTCGCGCGCCGCTGCCACGCCTGCGACGGCGCTGGCTGCCTGTTGCTGCCTGGGTATGGGGGTCATCCGTCCAAGAACCCTTCCCGCCCTCCTTGCAGTGCTGGCGACACCCTGGCAGGCCTGTCGGCGTACGTCAGCACCGCCAACGTCGTGCAGTCCTGCTGGTGCAACCAGGTCACCGGCGGCGCAAGCAGCAGCAGCGGCGACTCGCCCCCGGTGGCGCTCTCGGTCGAATCCGGTACGAGCCCGGACGCTTTGCTGGGGGCGGTGCCTTCCCCAGCGTCTGACGGTGCAGGTGGGGAGGCAGACTGATGCGTTGCCGACGCCCTCGGGGTGCTTCGGGGATGCAGCCAGGTGGGGGCAGAGGCGCGTGATGGAGGTGAGCTCACGAGTTGCTCATGCTCCCACCCCGTCCTCTGTTCCACAGCAGGCAGCGGCGGGTACGGCGGTTGAAGAGTGGCGACCAAGCCTCTGAATGGAATTCCAGACGCGGACGGCTGCCCCAGGGTGCCCTTTCCAGCATTGCCAGGGCCACAAGCTGCACCTCGCCTTTCTCAAAATTAGATCGCTTCCCCGTGGAGCAGGGGCAAGGGTGCCAACCGCTCCCTCCGCTGCTCCCCACTGGCGACCCCTTACGCTCTCTTTGCCATGCCTGTCATTTGCTAACCTTGGAACACACTGAAGCACCCTCTCCCCCCCCTTCCCTGCCTGCCTGCGCCACGCCCCACGCTACCCGAGCCCCGGCATGTCACCCCTCTCGGGTGTGGTCTGGAGAAGGGTTGGGCCGCATCCCTTGCCCCAGCCCGGCCCCGGGCCCACCCTCGCCCGCCCTTTCCACACGCTGCACTAACTTATCACACACCTTGGGTACTTGCTCGGTCCTGCGTGACGATGTCCTCTATGTTGACAGCGACAGACCGAAAGGAAGGGACAGACGAGCGAAGGGATGGGGCCAATGTGGGGAAGTCGTATGTGCCAAGTGACTGGTTGGTGTCTTGTTGTTAGGGAGGTAGGGCGTAGGCTTGCCGATCGACTCACTCATCGGGATCCCTGCAGTGTCTGATCGCACCGCGCCTACTACTCGTTGAGACCCCTGCAGTGTCTAATTGCGCCGCGCCTGCTGCTCGGCAGCATGCGGCGTCCAGGACCCCCCCTTGTTCAGCCACCTGGAATCTACCTCCCCACACAGCATGCTCAGCCACAGCCAGGGATTCCATGACCTCACGGTCTCCAGGAAGCCATCCACAAGGGATTTTCATTTCACTGACTGCTGCTCCTTATACAATTCCCCAGAAAACGCTCCGTCCCTGTCCGCGTCCATGTCCCCCCCCTTCCCCCCCCCCTCTTCAGTCAGCAATCATGAAACTGAAGTCTGGTGCTTACAACACACCTCACGCCGTGTTCATGTACGTGCTGGCGTCCACCGAGTCCGGCAGGGGCTTGATGTCGACGTCAAACCGCTCCTGCACCTGGTTCAGCACCTCACTGTCGGCGGGGCTGGCCACAAAGGTTACCGCCAGGCCCTTGGTGCCGAAGCGCCCCGCCCGCCCCACGCGGTGGAGGTAGGTGTCGGCGCCGTTGCCGTGCTTGTCGTCTGTCTCCGGCATGTCGTAGTTGATCACGATGTTCACACGCTCGATGTCGATGCCGCGCCCCACCTGGGTCGGGTGGGTTGGGGGGGTGGGGGGGTGGGTTGGGGGGTAGAAGGGCACTGCCTGTGAGGGCCAGGAACGGCCTTGATGGTGAGCGAGTGAAAGGGCATCGGATCGATGACACCCTCCCTCCACATCCCACCTCATCCTCACTCCACTCCCAGCCCAACCCCACCCACCCACCCACATCTTACAATGACACCCCCCCTCAGACTACAATGGACCCCCCCCAGAAAAACAAAAACCCAACAAAACCAACTCACCAGATCGGTGGCGACCAGGATGCGCTTGGCACCCTCCTTGAACTCCTTGTACACGGCCAGGCGCGCGGCCTGGTCCATACCCGCGTGGATGGTGGTGGAGGGGAAGTTGCACTGGCAGAGGAGCTTGTTCAGCTCGCGCGCGCGCGCGACGGACTTGACGAAGATGACCACCTGGTTGAAGTCCAGCGCGTCCAGCAGGTCATTCAGCTTCCGGTTCTTGGCGTCCTCGTTCAGCATGACGTAGTGCTGCACCAGGCCATGCAGGGTCAGCTTGGCCTCGTCGTCCACGTAGATCTCCATGGGGTCGCGCATGAAGCGCTTGCACACGGGCCGCACCTCGGCCGACAGCGTGGCGCTGAACATCATGACCTGCTTGTCGTGGGGCGTGCGCTTGAAGATGGCCTGCACGTCTGCCCGCATGTCCACCGACTCCAGGCACTTGTCGCACTCGTCCACCACAAAGTGGCGCACGCGGGACAGGTCCAGGCTGCCCTCGTCGGCCAGGGCCTTGATGCGGCCAGGGGTGCCGATGAGGATGTGCGGCGCCTTCTCGCCGTCCTTGAGCAGGTCGCGGTGGGCCTTGATGGGCAGGCCCCCGAAGAAGTTGGCCAGCCGCACCGACTTGAGGTAGGTGGTGAAGCGCTCAAACTCGTGCGTGATCTGGAAGGCCAGCTCGCGCGTGTGGCACAGCACCAGCACCGACACCTGCCCGTCCACGGGCTCCAGCTGCTGCAGCGTGGAGATGACAAACACCGCGGTCTTGCCCATGCCGGACTTGGCCTGGCAGATGACGTCCATGCCCAGGATGGCCTGGGGGATGCACTCGTGCTGGACTGCGTCGACGGTACAAGGGGGGGATGGGACGGGGGAGGGGGGTTGGGAGTCTGGGGGAAGGAAGAGGCCCAAGTAACATCCTGTCGAGGTCCATGCGCGTCTGGAGGGGGAGGTCCCACAAAGTAGCGGCTGGAGCGGACCGAGGTGGACACCAAAACTGTCGCCTCCGGCGCCGCCCCACTCCTCATCGAGCTGGGTGGATGCATCCTCAGGGCGCTTGTCGCCCCATCATCCACCGGTTCGTAGTCCCATCAGCCACGGCTCGTTCACCCGTGCCTGCCCTGGAGCGCACCCTCGGAGGGGTGCTCGAAACCGCAGTCCTGGATGGCGCGCAGGAGCTCGGGCTTCAGGAGGAAATCCTTGAAGCCCGAGGAGTGGATGCCGACATACCCCTTCTTCACCGTCTCGCCCTTGGCCGTCTCCGGCTCCAGGACCTCCTCCTCCTCGTAGTCGACGAGCTCCTCGGTGTCAGCCATGTCTGCAGGGGCCAGCGCCGGGTGGGTGAGGCGGGTCCCGAGGGGAGGGGGAAGCTGATGGTGGCCGGGACGGGCAGGGCCGAGCAGGGGCGCCGTGGTCCGCCACTCCACTCTAGAGGCCACCGGAACGCGTCGTCCAGGAACGCAAGGTGCACTGTCCACGGCATGTCAGGTCAGATTCCGCACGATCCTCAGCTCAAGATGAACTCACTGTCTGGCGTGGCTGTATGTGATGGACCGGCTTTTTGAGCCGGATGTGCTGGTAGCAGTTTAATATACTTTGACGAGTAGAATGTGTAGCGTCAGTATTCTATGCCCGGCTGCACCCGCTCCCCTGGGAGGTCCCTGCGGAACTCAGCCTTCTTTTCCCGCCATCTGGACAATTGCAGTTGCCATGGCGAGATCCATTCGCCGCAGCGTGAAGCCCCCCCGTGAGGATTATATTGTTTGACGACACCTAATCTACAACTACTGAAACGGATTGGGAAGATCACTGACCTGCCGGGCTCACGGCAGAGCCTATGCGTGAACCGCGAACCAACAGCCTTTTAGTGGAGTGGCTGGAACTCAAAACCCCATCTCCCGATGAGCCACCCTTAGCCTCAGGAACAAAAAGAGCCAAAAAAGAATGCTCTTGGAAATCACATAACGGAATTTCACGGGAGGCAGCCATGCATTCTGGTCAAAGTACAGCAACTTTACACGACAAACAGGCCTCGCTCGACATGCATACATGACTATCTTAAACATACAATATGTGCCTTGATTTTCAGTGTAGCTTGTGTGACTTGCTGCCTCGCACGAGGCGCCATTGTATGCCAATGTTTTTATGCGTCGTCCCCACGAAGACCCTCGAACCTACACGCTCCCGCCCTCGTCCCTCATCGGCAAGAAGACATCCTATACAATACGTCTGTCTGCGTTAAACTGCCGTTGCTTCCTTGCTTTTAGTCAGCCAAGCCTACCCCGATTGTCAGTCGTCCTTGCTGTGATGGCTTCCCGTCAGGCCAGGGGTGTGCTCAACTTCGTAGCCTCCAGCCTGGTGCGCAGCTCAGCTGCGCCCCGGGCGCTCATCGCTCTTCCCTACAGCGCGGCGGTGCGTGCGGCTTGCGTGAGCTCGGCCACTCGCGCCGGCGGTGTGAGGGCGTTGCACGCCTCCCCACCTTCAAGGTCATCGGCCCTCATCGGCGCCCTCCAGTCCGAGCTCACGTACGAGAAGGAGGAGTATGTACAGCCCGAGGCAAGTTTGGGTTTGCTACCCAAGGGGCGCGGGGAAGCAAGACTGTTGATTGGGTGATCAGTTGGGGGAATGAGTGTGACAGAAGGTCAAGGAGTTTCGGCTCATGCGCGGTGACTGAGCCGCCGATGTTGTAAACCTTTTGACAATTCCTCTCTGACCCCCCACTACAGGAGGTGGCGGGTGGACCCCCCAACGGCTTCACGCTGACCGAGTCCCAGGGCGACTGCTTGGTGACGCTCACCAAGGAGCACCAGGGCGAGACCGTCACCATCGAGCTCATCGCGGGCTCAGAGGTCAGAACTTAGTCATGGACTGGTGCAGTCGATCGCCAGAATGCGATGCAGGGATGTGTGCTTGCAAGGGGAGCCTGTGGGTTGTGTCAAACACCGACCTCTTGGCAACATGATCTCCAAGTGTTGAGCTGGACTGGCAGCTCCATCCCCTCCTCATGACCCCACCCGCCACCAGACCGAGGACGAGGAGTTTGAGATTCCAGATCACGATCACGAGGCAGAAGAGGAGGTGGAGGAGGGGCCCGCCCCCGCCACTCCCTTCTCCGTGTCCATCGTCAAGGGCGACACCGAGATGAGGTGGGCAGAAGTTGCAATGTGGGGTCATGTGTCGCCACCAAATTTGAGCACTCGCCAGCCAAGCATTGTAGGTACCTTGCAATGGACCAGCACGCCTGTGTTCTTTGCCATCTCCATTCAGATCACGCTCGCCTGTTCTCCAAAACCCTAACCTGCGCCCTTGCCCCTCCCGGACTCCCTCTTACAGGTTTGAGGTGCGCGTCCGTGGCGACGGGTCCATGGAGGTGGACGAGGTGACGCTGTCCCCCGCCGACGAGGACGAGGAGGCCTTCAACGAGGTCCCCTACCAGGGCCCCCGCTTTGAGGAGCTGGATGAGGGCCTGCAGGCCGAGCTGCTTCACTACCTGGACGAGCGTGGGGTGAACGCTGACCTGGCGGTCTACATCACCGCCCTCAACTTTGACAAGGAGCAGCGGGAGTACACCCAGTGGCTGGAGCGCATGCAGGCCTTTGTGGCCCAGAAGGCGTGGAGGGGGGGAGGGATGGGCCAGGCGCAGGGTCGAGGGTCCAGGAGCTCTGCGCGGGCGCGCGCGGCCAGCATCGCCCCTGCTCCATGACGAATGGAAAGGGTGCATGGCATCCTGCTCGCTGCAGCCCCGGCGGGTGCGCCTGAAGCCCTGCCAAAGCCTTGCCACCTGGCATAAAAGCATCCCAACCTTTTGCCTCTCATCGAGATTCTTGCGCTCATCTGGGCATCCAATGAACATGCATGTAGGCAGGCAGCCTCACTTGAGGCACGCCAGAGGTCACCCCTGTCGAGAAAGTGTGCTGCTATCCGCGGAACTTTGGGGAGCTGGTGTGCATTGACTGGCCTGCTCAGCTGTGCAGTGCGTTGGTGACCCTGCCCCTGGAGCGCAGCAGCAACCAGTGGCTTGGTGTGTGGTGCCCATCGAAGCCTGCAGCACCCCATGTGGAAGTGCTGCAGCCATTGCAGCCACACGGCCTCAGCACAGGCCTCATGATATTCTGTCCAATTACACTCAGGCTGCACTCCAGCGTACCCAAACACAGAGCACGCGACAGCACACGCCCGCGGCGCTTTCCTTTACCCCCTTCCTCCTCACCACGTGCCCACGGCGTGCGCGGCAGGGTCCCTGAACAGCGCGTGGTCCCAGTTGGTGGGCAGGGCGAAGGGCTCGCCCAGGTCTACGCCCTCAGCCGACACCCGCGCGATCTGGAAGCGGTTGATGCTGTTCTTGTCGCGGTAGTAGCACACGGTGAGGCACTCGCGCAGCAGCGCCCTGGCCTCCTCCTCGCTCATGTCGGGCCGGTGCTTCTCCCGCAGGATGGGCCGGGCCAGGTGGTTGCCGAAGCCTTTGAGCCAGGGGGGTGGGGTGCGGGTTGAGGCATCGAGGGCGACGGCATGGGATGCGTTGTCCCCTCAATCGAAGGCCCTCAGCACCCTGAGGAGAGGCCAGCAGGAGGCGCCAAGCAGGCCCCTGCCCCTGACAGGCAACCAACTCCTCTGGCACAGCTACTCCCCTCCCCCCCTTCACCCCCCTCCCCACCTGTGGCCACTGTGTTGTCAGTGAAGTGCGTCCCAATCATGCCGATGGACCCCAGGAAGGGCTTGCCGGCGTACCACCCGCCCACCACCAGACTGTTCCACAGGGGGTCCATCCTGTGAATGGTGCGGGATGGGGTGCAGCATTAACACATCACTTGCCATGCATCATGCTCACCCAGTCCATGTGCCAGGCCTTCCTGCGCCCCCAGCGGGGAGAGAGCAGCGGCTGCCTGTGTCATCCACATCCTGTGCCTCACGCCACCCTGGTCCGTGCCCTGCAGTGCACCCAGTCCCAGGGCAGGGCATGCACACCCCGCCCCCACCCCTCCCGTGGGCCCCTCGCACTTGTTGCGGCGGTTGTAGATGACCCGCGTCAGGTAGGAAAATACCTCGGCGGGCTTCATGTGGTGCCCGTCGTCCATGCAGAAGTCGTCATCCGCCAGTTCCTCCAGCAGCCTGCAGGAGATTGGGGTCCATGCCTGTCAAACTCATGGGGCACGTGACAGGCAAGGTAGGTGCATGACGACTGGCGAGGCATGGATGTGTGGTGCATGCGCTGCCACATTCACTGGGCTGAAGCAACCCGAGAGCCGCCCACCGGGCTGCTCCCTGCCTGGAGCCCGATGCAGTGTCGCAACCTGCACCCCAGACCACATTCAGAAGCACAGCCACCGGCACCTGACAATGTACTGGTAGTCGGAAAGCTCTCCGCCGGCTCCCAGGACGGTGCAGTTGTTGACCTTGGTGAGCCTCTGGAACGACTTGTACCGTTTGGTCGACCCATACGCACCTGTGAAGATTCAGGCTGCCACGCGCTCCAGTGGGGTCTGACTGCAGCGCCTCCTCGAAACAGAATGCACTGGGTGGCTAACCCTGTCACAGCCAGCAGCCAAGGCCATGCCTCCCCCACACCTGCCGTCCATCACCCTCCCAACCCTCCGGCAATGACCCCACGCACCAAGGGTATCGCTTGCCAACAGGATGCCATCCTTGTACGTAATACCCAGCACCGAGGTCCCCGTGACGTAGGGGTACCTGGAGACGGTTGGTGACAAGGTGTGCGAGGAACCTTTTGCGTTGTAGAAGCCAGCCCTGCTGACGATGCTCAACAGGCCCTCGACCTCCACACACACTCACTGCGTGTGCTTGCGCGTACCGCCACCGGCAGCGAGGGCAGAGGGGTCCACCATAAAGGCCTCAGATCCACAGGAAGGCCTTTGCAGGGCGTGGCCCGCTGGCTGATCGAGGCCCGCTGTGCTGGGATTGGCCATCGACGGCCCAGCGCAGCCCGGGCCTATGGCTGCGCTGTGTGATGTGGGCTTCGGCAACATGATGATTTATCTGGGGGGTGCCAAGCGCTGCCCTGAGCGGCACAGACGATCAGGAGGGAATGTGATCCCCAGCCCCACAACAAAGGAACAGGCGGATACAGATGAGGTTGCAGGTCCGTTTTTATCAGTTCTCAAATACTGAATGGGGAGTTCGATGGGTTCAGACCCGGCTGTGTGCGTGATCAAGAACGGTGGGCAACCATGTCTGATTGCCAGCCTGGATGGCGTCCGCAACGCAGAGCACCACCTTGATGACGACGCCGGGAGATGTCGAGCATCTGCTCATGCATGCGCCACTCTCCTTACTTGCATGATTTGTCTCGGATTTCCGCCAGAAGGTGTTGAGATACCCAGTGCTGTGGGCAAAGAGTAGGTTTGGTATTTGTCGACCGCGGAGCGCCTCGTTGGCCTCACCGCCTTTGCCCTCCGATGGGAAAACAGCGGAATTCTGTGCGAGCTGCAACAGCTCGGTCAGGAAAGCTGGCCAAAGGATCGAAGCGCAGCCCCCAGGTTGCTGCAGCTGCTCCAGGTGGGGCTATGGACCGGGAGGGAGGGGGCCTCGGGCAGGGAAGGGCGAACCCATCATCAAGGACGCTGGGGTTGTGACCCACTCCGGCCCGAGAATGTTTCAAGTCGACAATGCTGCACATCTGTGTCCTGTTGAGGTCGAGGCAGACCCTCCGACGGGTCCTTCACCGTGTCATCCAGCTGCAGGAGTCAGGGAGAAGGAGGCCGCCAACCCCGACAACCCTGCCCCCAAGAACGAAACACACCCCGCCACGTCGTCGACTGCAGCTGTCACGAACGGTGAGCCCGTGTCGGCCCCCGGACCTGAAGCCCCCACGCTGACCCTGGAGCAGATGACCGAGGCAGTGGCGTGCGCAGCTGCCGAACAGGGCGACGACTGCAAGGCGGCCCCCGCCCCCCTGCCCACCCTGGTACTGGCCGAGGAAGCGGTCGACGTGGGCCCTGGCTCATCCACAGTCTCCGTAGCGGGCACTGCCGGGGACCGGCTGGCAGAGGTGGCCTCTGTGGCCTCTGCGGGCGACTACGCTGACCCCAGCTACATGCTTGGGGACTCTGTCAGTCCCCAGACGGCGGCCCCGCCAGAGGTGGACGCTGGGACTGCGAGCGAGGCCGCCATCCTGGTCTCTGACGCCATTGCCTCGGCCCTCACCTCAGAGGTGGTGGCAGAAGGAGCGAGGGGCAACGAGCAGGCGGCACAGAGCCATGGCCCAGCACAGCACGACTTGGCGTCTGCGCCGAAGGAGGCGAGCCCTGTCGCTCACGCACCTGCCGGGCAGGAGTTGGCAGTGGAGCTGGAGGCAGAGGGCCAGGGAGTCTCCGTCAAGGTGGAAGTTCCCGGAGAAGCTTACAAAGCTGATTCAAATGGCGAGCAAATGGCGGGATGCAACGAAGCTGATGTCAAGCAGACGGCAGGGACGGAGCGGGTCACGTCAAACGGCAAACAGCCAGCAGGAGCTGGGGAGGAGCATGCATCGAACTCAAAGGCGCCCGCCGCGCCCGCCGCGCCCTCATCGCTCGACGGCGGCAGGGGTTCACGCAGTGCCACGCCGCGCTCCGGCCGGCGCAACGTCCGATTCGAGGACGAGGAGTGCAAGCCGGGGGCGGAACTCGCCGGTGCCCTGGCAGGCGTGCTGGGCGTCGCCGCCGGCGGCACCGGTGCCGCCGCTGCCGCGACGCCGCTGGCTGAGGAGACGCTGCAGGCCGCCGGCGGCGGGGGGCTGGTGGGGCGAGAGGTGGGCATGACCACCGAGGAGGATCCCCGCAGGACCACCAAGGAGGGGTCGTGTGCCGCCACCCAAGACCCACTGCGGGAGCCAGAGACACTGGCGTCCCAGCCGGAGGCGCTGGACGTCTGGCTGAGGGAGTGGGCGGAGTGGGGACATGCCCACGCCGGGTCCCTGGCAGTTGTGGCGGGGGCCACGGCAGCGCTCGTCGGCCTCGCCAGCCTTCTGTGGGGCGGACCCGGCAGGCGGCGCGGCAGGGCCGCCCCCCTCTGGCACTGAGGGCCTGCCATTGCATGTGTCCCCAAGAGCCATGCGGTGATTCGCCAAGTAATAATGGCCTTCTCTTTGAACCCGTTTTTATTGTGGAGGCCTGGACCTTCCCTTGTCAAGTTTGAGACTGGGGCGCAGGCGGCGCCGGGAACCCGGAAAGCAATCCTGTAGTCAATCAAAGAGCGTGCCAGGCAGCGGCAGGTACCTTGCAGCCCATTGCAGGAGGGTGAGAAGGAGATACATCCGTCCACTGCCCTGGTGTGCAGCATGACCAGGCAGAATGCAAATGCTTGGCAGGAGGTACCCACTTGCCACAGTCATCGCCCGGTCGACAGGCAAGTATTGCTCGAGTTCCATGGTGCAGGAAGTCCCTCCACTCGTCGTTTTGGAAACAGCCTCAGTTCTCCTTTTTCTCCTCCTCCTCCTCCTCCTTGGCGGGCCTCCTGCCAGTACAGGAGGTGGCTCACCTTGCCCTTCAGAGCTGTGAATGGCAGAGGGTAGGAGGTGAGGGAAAGGGGTGCGAGGAACACTTTATACAGCCTTGGCTGCGCAGCAGCCACCTCAGACCAACCAGGCATGGATACCCAAGGTTGAGCCATACCTGCTGCAGCGAGCGTGAAGAGGAACACGGAGGGGACGATGTACAGCAGGGCAGGCTGGGCTGCCTTGAAGGCATTCATGACCATGATGGTGGCCGTCAAGCCCACCACATATCCCAGGAAGGAGCTGTTATGGAAGTGAGTGAGGAGGGTGAGGTGAGTAATTGCCGCGCTGGAGCTTGTATCGACACATGTATATCAGGATGTCAGCAAAGCTTGGCACAGCACAGCGACAGGCACGAATGTATGCATCATTGCCCTCCTCACCTCCTGAAAAACCGCGTCTGGCGGCCATGGGCGATGTCGTAGCGAAGGACGATGGCCACGAATATCCCAGGGATGACGATGTCTCCCAGTCCGAGCATGGAGAACTGCTCCTTGCCCTCGGCTAGAGTGAGGAAGGGGAGGTGGGAGGAGTCACAATGGGTCAGACCTCTCAAGAGGCAGAAATCCACAATATCAAGCTCTGCATAGGAATGTGTCACAAGGGGCCCAAGGACTGCGGAGAGGGAGCTTGCAAGGCAGCGTCAGCAGACCACATCATAACGAAAGACACATCTGCCCCGGGGATCTCAACCCCCAAATGGTCCCCAATCCTAACACCCTCCCCCCCCCAAACACACACACACCCTGCGCCGCCCACCATCTTGAAGGAATCGAGGGAAGAGGAGTTTGATGGGCGCATCAAAATTCTTGGCCACCGAGACCATTACTGGGGTGAAGAACACCCAGAAGATGTCGTAGAAGAAGAGACCTTTGAGGGGTTGGGGGGTGAGTTTGATTGTGATCATGACGGACTGATGTCCGTTGGCATCTCTGCGGCTGGCCGATGGGAAGGGGGGGGCGCGGTGCCTGCATGGCCTTCTACCTGCGAACTCTTCACCACAGGATCTGGAGAAGAAACCATTGTGTGAAGTCTACATCCTCTCCCTCTCCGCCCAACCCCACCCCAAAACACGCCACCTACCTGCCAGGAGGATGACCCCGACGGCCACAGACCCCAGGGACAAGTGCTCGATACCCTGAAGCGAGAAGGCCAGGCCCAGAACATTGCTGGCAAACCAGTGGCGCTGTTTCAGGTACCAGGCGGAGAACAGGGCGGCGGCGGCCGACAGGACGATTTCCAGGGGGCTGAACGAGAACTCTAGACCCTCCTGTGAAGGGGATCGAACAAGAGGGGTAGTGAGGTGGAGCGTCAACAGATGGAGAGGGAGCTTGGGCTCATGTATGAGGATGGCGTGGTAGGACGCGTCTGCGAATGACATGCAGGAAAGCCGGCAAGTAGGTGTCAGAGACTCAGGCAGAGGGCGGTTGGACAATGTGCCAGGAGCCCTGTTTCTCGGAACTTTTCAACACAGTAAATCCCAGTCATTTGCCTACCTTGAGCAGGACCGGAATTTTCATGACGGTGAAGTGAAACTGGGTCTCAGACAGCTTGCGTGGAAGGAAGGGTGCCACGAGCGGGTCCGCAGTGGCTGTGAGGGCCAGCAGTCCCAGCAGCACAAAGTATGCTGCAGGGACAGGAAATTTTCGAAGATCATTAAGTTTACCAGCTCGAGCTCCACCAACCAGGTTCAGCGCCCCAGCATCCCGTTTTGCTGATCACAGGGAATACCTCCAACTTGCCTGCTAACACGGCATTCACCCAGTCCTTTGGGAGGTACTTGAATGCCAGGAAGAGACTGAAGAGGACGACTGAGCCTATCAGGGGAAACTTGGCTGCATCCTGTACAAATATGGCATGGGGGGATGGGGTGGGGGCCACTCAGGCGGTTTGCAGTGCCATAGTACAAAGCAGCGTCAGGAATGCAGACTACCAGGCCATCGGACAGGGGCATGCTGGCAAGGGCAGGGCACCCGGGCAGCCCGTCACCAGCTCACCCTCTTTGTCATGGAGTCCTGTGGCGGGCTGTCCTTGACGGATCGCCTGCTGCCGACGTAAACGGTGGCCGCGGCAGTGGCCACGATGTTGAAGTTCACCGGCACCGGCAGGAAAATCGGGGCCACCGCCAGGCCAGCCAGGACGGCATGACCAATTGGACAGGGCACCTTCAGAGGTCCTTCCTCACTTCCAGCCATGTCGTGTAGGGGGGTGCGCTACGCGTCTTGGCCTCGGGGTGGGCAGGCACTTGCCGCGATCACCACCGGCTAGGCCAGGATCTGCAAAGTACCCGCTGGATCACAGTATCAGGTATCTGAGATTGTGTCGAAACTGATCAGCAGGTAAATGTGGTTGTTCTTGCTATCATGTTGTGTCGAGCAGGCACCCCGCGGCATCGGGGAGGGGAAGGGGTTGTGATCTTGCACCAGAATGTTGCCCAAATCCCTTGTGCGGATCTCTCGGGCAAAGGAGGTATTCAATCATCTGCAATGACCCCTTGCGAAAGCTGGAAGTACTAGGAAAACATTGTGCTGTAATGGCTCTTTCTTGCAGACTAATGAGCCTCTGTTGAAGCATGCCAGGAAGAATACACCGTACCCCAGCGGCTTGGACCTGGTGACGAGTTGGTACAAAGCCTGTTGGCCGCCAGACTATTTTGGAGTGTCCTCCAACCACCGAGATAAAATTTCCTTACAGGGGGTGCAGCATCCTGTTTTCAATAATAGTCAATTGCCAAGTTTAACAAACAAATCCTGTGCACTAGGATAAGAACATACCACAATTTTTCGGGTTTTCAACATGTGACAAGCAGACTTGTCGCAGTCTTTCAGAGCCAAAGCTTCATGCTCTTGGTTAGTGTTGCTAACCAGGACCTCTCCTCTCTCGCACACAATCTCCCAGCCGCCGTGACAAGAAACTACGAGCGGGGCAGGCGACCAGGCTCGCGGTGGCCGTGCTCCGCGCCCTGCCACCAACAAGACGAACCAAAAAGCGCTGTAATTCCAACCATTCAACACGTGCCCCATTCATCGGCTGGATGCAATGCATTAGGCAGGCCACTTGTAGATCAGGTGGGGAGGGCATCCTCTTTCCTGGCTCGCCCGTGATGGTGACACGGCCAGTGCTCCATGCTCCAAGGCTATGTATACAATATTCTAACCCTGGTGGTCCCTATGCCCCTCATCAATGTGCAGTGAACATCGCAGCCCTCCCCCGAGCTTCCCAAGTGGCAGCGCAGTGCAGAGCTCGTCCACCCCGGCGCTTTTTAGGTGCCCATTTGCGCAAAAGACTGGGATGCACCTGCTTGGACATGGAGCTTATTACCCCAGTATTCCAACTCGATCTTGCCTCACCTCGCAGGCTCCAGCACCCCCTCGCTCCACCCGAGCCGCTCCCGCTCGTCCGGCATGGCGACCCTGGCCACCTCCACTGGCGGCAGCATCCGTCAGGAGCTGACTAGCCTCTTTGGGGCCTCCATCTCCTCCACATTCCCTGATGCCGGGGTGCAGCCGTCGGTGGCCCAGACCAACGACCCCAAGTTCGGGGACTACCAGTGCAACAATGCCATGGCCCTCTTCGCCAAGTGCAAGGGCAAGGTGAGCAGCGCTGCCTCCCTTTGGGCCCCGATCCGCCCCAGCCGCTTCATCCGCCGCCCCCACCTCCTCCCCCCCGCGAACAGACGCCCCACTCCAAACACACACACACCAGAGCCTCCCCTCCCCCCTTTCCGCCGTGCAGGAGGGCGCGCCCAAGAACCCACGCGCCGTGGCGGAGGCCATCGTGGCCGGCCTCCCCGCCTCGGACCTGGTGGAGTCCACCACCCTGGCCGGCCCCGGCTTCATCAATGTGCGCCTGTCCCGCGCCTGGCTGGGCCGCCACGTGGGCGACATGCTGGTGTCCGGCATCGGGTCGTGGGCGCCGCGCGGCCAGGCCCGGAAGCGCGTGGTGGTGGACTTCTCCAGCCCCAACGTGGCCAAGGAGATGCATGTGGGCCACCTGAGGAGCACCATCCTGGGCGACTGCCTGTGCCGCACGCTGGAGTACTGCGGCGCGGACGTGCTGCGCCTGAACCACATCGGCGACTGGGGCACCCAGTTCGGCATGCTCATACAGTACATTGCCGACAAGCGGCCCGGCGGTCTGTCGGCGGCCGAGGACGAGGACGTGGCCGACCTGCAGGTGCTCTACCGCGCGGCCAAGGCACGGTTCGACGCCGACGAGGGGTTCAAGGCCGCGGCGCGCGAGGCGGTGACCCAGCTCCAGGGGGGCCGGCCCGAGTACCTGGAGGTCTGGCGCCGCATCTGCGCCGCCTCGCGCGCCGAGTTCCAGCGCATCTACGACCGCCTGGGCGTGGAGCTGCAGGAGCGCGGCGAGTCCTTCTACAACCCGCGCCTGCAGGCCACCGTGGACGCGCTGGTGGAGCAGGGCGTGGCAGTGGAGTCGGACGGCGCGCGCTGCGTCTTCTTCGAGGGCCGGGATGTGCCCCTGATCGTGCAGAAGCGCGACGGAGGCTTCGGCTATGCCTCCACCGACATGGCCGCCCTGCACCAGCGCCTGACCGAGGAACGGGCAGACTGGATCGTTTACCTCACCGACGCCGGCCAGGCGGGGCACTTTGAGATGGTGAGCGCGTGTTTCAAGAGTGTGTGTGTGTGTGTGGTTGGGGGGGGAAGGGGGGGGGGTAATTTCGCTGGCAGGGTGGGGGAGAATGGGGGAGGTGCGTCAGAATGAAGGCGTGGTGCTGGGCCCGTCGTGGTTTCCCCTGGTCCTTAGCAGACAACAACATCCCAAAGGGGGGTGGCGCAGAGTGTCACACGAGTTCAATGCCATCCTCCCGCCTCCCAACCCCAGCCTCTGCATTCCGCCCCTCACATCGTCCCTGCCCCAGATCTTTGCGGCGGGGAGGAGGGCGGGTTATTTCCCCAAGGACCGGGAGGTGCGGATCGACCACGTCGGCTTTGGCCTCGTCATGGGAGAGGACGGGAAGAAGTTCAAGAGCCGGTCTGGAGATGTGCGTGGGGATGGAGGGGAGGAGGGCTGTGATGCATCAGGGATGTTGCTCCCAGTGGGCCCTATTTATGACCTGGTCATCAGGTCGGCTGTGGTCTAACGCGTCCTGAGGTGGAGAAAGTGAGCTCTCTCCCATGGCATCCTCTTACCCCCCTTGCATCCTCCCCACCCAATTGCATCCGCCTTGTCATCACACCCACCCACCCATCGTACCCCCACCCCACCCCTTCCCTCCCTCGCAGACGGTGCGCCTGGTGGAGCTGCTGGACGAGGCCAAGGCGCGCTGCAGGACCACCATCAAGGAGCGCAGGTGTGTGTGCCATGTGCTGAGTGGGCATCTGGTGACTCTTTAAATGGATCATGGCTGGTGAAGGCTGAATCTTGGCAGAGAATGTGTGAGGCCTGGGCATGCGAGGGGGCAACAGAGCAAGTCATGCAACAGTTTGTCATTGTGACAACAATGCATCTGCTGGAGCAGGGCAGTCTATGCACACCAGCTGCCAAGTCGTTTGCAGCTCCTGGCTGCCATGTCCCCAGCGCACGCCACACATGCTCCCTTGATCCCAGGCCTGACATCTCTGAGGAGGAGCTGGAGGAGGCCACCTCGGCCATGGGCTATGGCGCCGTCAAGTACGCCGACCTGAAGAACAACCGGCTGACCAACTACCGGTTCTCCTACAACGAGATGCTGAGCATGCAGGTAGGGAGGGTGGGGTGGCGGGGGATGATTCACGCTGGTAGTGAAGGTCGAGTGGAGGGAATGGAAGAGGGCACAGCCTGGTGTAACGGCTCGACTTGTGCAGCCAGATCTGGGCAAGGTGGTGGCTCAGGCATCTGGGCACATGCGGGGAGGTTGCCCGCATTGGACTTGATCTCGGTCTCGATGGCATGATGCCAGTGTTGGTCCTGTGCTGGCTCCTGGAGGGACCCCTCGCACAGTCAATCACCCTCGAATCCTCGCCTCCGCCCTGCCAGGGAGACACCGCGGTCTACCTGCTGTACGCGCACGCTCGCATCGCCGCCATCCTGCGCAAGTCTGGAAAGGACGTCGCGGAGCTGGCCAAGAGCACGAAGATCACCCTGGGCAATGACCTGGAAGTGGCCCTGGCCCTGCACGTGTCTCGCTTCTCCGGTGCGTTTTCTGGTGGCGAGGGCTGGCACGGGGGAATGCGCTGCTGTGGCGACCGGCAGGCGCTGCCGTGTGGGAGAGGTGCAGGGCGCAGGGATTGTGATTTTCATCTGCAGAAGATGGCCATCGTTAGCCATGACGACCTCCTCCTGCCCGGCGGTGAGCATTCACGCTGTGCACTCGAACTTCCCCTCATACGTGCAGAGGCCGTGGAGGAGATGCTGACAGACCTGTACCCCAACCGCCTCACCAGCTACCTGTACGACCTGTCTGGTGAGACCCAGGGGGAGCGTTGGTGGGTGTGCTGACAGGGAAGAATGTAGGGATCATGCAGGGGCCTTCATCCTGGAGTCCACATCCGAAACTCTTGCAGTGACATGGAACACTCTGCGGGGATCCTCAGTGTCCACACCCCTCGCGCCATGTCCAGAAGTCAGCTCCCTCTCTCATGCTCCAACCCCTGTTCTGCGCCAATGACTCATACAGGCGTATTCAACCAGTACTACACGGAGTGCCAGGTCATCGGCACGGAGGAGGAGGACTCGCGCCTTCTGCTCTGCGAGGCCACCGCCGTCGTGATGAGGCAGTGCTTCCACCTGCTGGGCATCACCCCACTGTACCGTATCTGAGCACTGGGGGTGAACTGTTGAGGCCCCTCCCCAGTGTGCAGCCATGTGCCTGGGCATGTCAGCAAGCCTGGGAGATTCCAGGAGCGACACATTCAACAGGGAGGAAATGGGGAAGGTATCACATCACGCCATCACACTCCCCAGAACCGCTGCATTGACCAAGGCCAGACGCACGTCGCATTCTGCACGGTGTTCACATGTCGTTTTGGCTTGCTGGCAATGCTTATCGCATCCTCGGGCCCCGTGTTATCTTTCATGCCCCACACACCTGCCCAACTTGATCAAGCTCGCCGCTGTTGTGCCAGACTGCCTCTGCAGGTTCTCGCGAGGCAAGCAATATCATCAAAGTGGCACTCATTATCATAATTGACGTTTGTGTGCGTGAAAGGGCTTGAGTCTACGCTCTGGGTGGTTTCCGCCCACCAGGACTGGAGCAGGTGACGCATCTCACCTCCCCACAGCCCTTGCAACATAAGTGGCTACTGGAAATGTGTCCACGTGCTTGCCAGCTGCTTCTTGTACGGATCCACGGTGCTTGCCATGCCCCAAAGTCGTCATCCAGGCTCTGAAGTGCCCAGCTTTGCCCCTTGGGGCATTTTCTGGACACTTCCAACCCTGTTTCACCTCCGGCATGAGTGCAGCTGCCCCAGATGCAGGTCCAAAGGGACACTGGAGCCCACGAACCCACACAGACTCCACTGTCAAGGCCTTTAAAAGCTGCATTCAGTGCAAGTCTGGCTCAAAGCTCCCCAGGCCGCCCGGTCGACGCCTGGACCTGGGTTTACTCGTTTTCTGCGAGCTGGACATTGGAGGATGCAGGTTGGGCCATCCAAGGCTCGGCTGGCAGGCTGGAGGATGAGAAGGCCCCAAGAGCATATGAAAAACCGCTGCAGGTCCGCCGCAGGGATCCCGGACGGGGACATCGGCTCCCATAGCCCTCTTGGCTCATCCCTGCGCCGAGGGCGGGTCTGATCCCATCAGGAGTCAGAAGTTTACAGAGTGGACCCTTGCGTGGTGGGTGGCTGCTCTTGCCTTGACTCCTGCATGAATAAGCCATGCAAGCACAGCATGAAGGGCTGGCATACGATGTACCCAGCCCTTCATGCTGTGCTTGCATGGCTTATTCATGCAGGATTCATGGCAAGAGCAGCCACCCACCACGCAAGGGTCCACTCTGTAAACTTCTGACTCCTGATGGGATCAGACCCGCCCTCGGCGCAGGGATGAGCCAAGAGGGCTATGGGAGCCGATGTCCCCGTCCGGGATCCCTGCGGCGGACCTGCAGCGGTTTTTCATATGCTCTTGGGGCCTTCTCATCCTCCAGCCTGCCAGCCGAGCCTTGGATGGCCCAACCTGCATCCTCCAATGTCCAGCTCGCAGAAAACGAGTAAACCCAGGTCCAGGCGTCGACCGGGCGGCCTGGGGAGCTTTGAGCCAGACTTGCACTGAATGCAGCTTTTAAAGGCCTTGACAGTGGAGTCTGTGTGGGTTCGTGGGCTCCAGTGTCCCTTTGGACCTGCATCTGGGGCAGCTGCACTCATGCCGGAGGTGAAACAGGGTTGGAAGTGTCCAGAAAATGCCCCAAGGGGCAAAGCTGGGCACTTCAGAGCCTGGATGACGACTTTGGGGCATGGCAAGCACCGTGGATCCGTACAAGAAGCAGCTGGCAAGCACGTGGACACATTTCCAGTAGCCACTTATGTTGCAAGGGCTGTGGGGAGGTGAGATGCGTCACCTGCTCCAGTCCTGGTGGGCGGAAACCACCCAGAGCGTAGACTCAAGCCCTTTCACGCACACAAACGTCAATTATGATAATGAGTGCCACTTTGATGATATTGCTTGCCTCGCGAGAACCTGCAGAGGCAGTCTGGCACAACAGCGGCGAGCTTGATCAAGTTGGGCAGGTGTGTGGGGCATGAAAGATAACACGGGGCCCGAGGATGCGATAAGCATTGCCAGCAAGCCAAAACGACATGTGAACACCGTGCAGAATGCGACGTGCGTCTGGCCTTGGTCAATGCAGCGGTTCTGGGGAGTGTGATGGCGTGATGTGACACCTTCCCCATTTCCTCCCTGTTGAATCTCCTGCATGAATAAGCCATGCAAGCACAGCATGAAGGGCTGGCATACGATGTACCCAGCCCTTCATGCTGTGCTTGCATGGCTTATTCATGCAGGAGTCATGGCAAGAGCAGCCACCCACCACGCAAGGGTTCACCTGGTATGGCTCAGACTCGGAGTGAAAATGGGACCTGACTCGTCATAGGGGGTAAGCAAGGGGGGAAGTCTCCATCGAGGATCCCAGCAGCCGACCTGCAGTGGGTCTCCATGCCCTGCCGAGCCTTCTTGTTCTCCAAAACCCGCCCTGCATGCATGGAGTGCAGCTCGCGAAGGATGTATAAATGCAGATCCAGTCGCCGCTCTCGCAACTTTGGGCGCCAGCTACCAAACTTGCGCTCCATACGGCGATTGTCAGCCCTGAACAGGCGACGTGGTTTGGTTTCACAGCGTTTACCGAAACCCCTGCCCATGCATTCACGGGTTCACGCGATTCGCTGGATAATAGAAGGCAAGAAATTACGTTTGATGCCATTGAGTCCGCAGAATCGATAGCAAAGGGTCATTCCGGGAAGATCGGATGGGGTACCGTACCACACCGGCTCGGCGAATAGGCTTGCCAGGCACGCCTGATCATTGCGAAGCGCTAGCAGGCCTCTCTCTCCACCAAGTATCGTAAACGTACCACGGCTTGCATTCCTTAGACCGTACATTATGAGATCTCAATGAGGAGAGTGTCGCCCGTAACTGGGGACAATGCATACGGGCACCCATACCATTGAGGTCTCCTGCTTGAGATGAGACAAAGTGGTCTAATTATGCGAATTTGTGGGAGTCGAAATTAATTAATTTTACCAGCATCATGCACCTCGGATGTGGAGGTGGACCCCTCATGGGAATTTTGCGCATGGTGTGAAGTTGCGCTCTAGGAGTCCCAGATCGGCCAACCCGGGACAATACTAATCTCCCAGTCAGATGCCACTCGAGCCCATCTATGCTTAAATAAGATATTAAAATGCGCAAGATTGCTTGATGGGCATCCGAGAGGCCCCCGTCCGGCGGGGGCCATTCTCGCCCCTTCGGGAGACCCCGTCGTGGCCAGTAGGGATGCGGACGCATCGCAAGGCATTTTTCGATTTGTTAATATCATTTGAACGTAAGAGTATCGAGTACAGAGCGATAGACCCCGTCACCACACATCGGTCGTGCCCGATGGGCCCCTGGTGGCCCAGGGGCCTCCCCCCTCCTTAGCTCGTAAAGGGGCCAGATACCCCCCTTCCTATACACTGCCTGTCTGGATGCTGATCCAGTCGTTTACTAATATGGGATCCACACCAGGTGCAAAGTCACCTTGGCCCTCATTTGCCTGCTGAAGCAGTCTGCCGCCTCTTGCCGCCTCCCCTCTCAAGATGGGAGCGGATGCGGCGCGCTTTGCCATGTTTTGGGGCTATCTTTGACAGTGGAGACTAGAGGGCAACACCCTGCCATTCAGTGGCAGTGACGTGGTGGGTTGCCCAGCATACTGCAGGGTGTTATTTGGCGAGGAGGCCGCTGGTGGTCCGTGGTGTGATTCTGGCCAAGGGAGATGGGCGGTGGGTCATGCGTGCGTGATTATCAAGTATGCAGGACTCCTTTACAAGCTTCCCATCGCACGGATGCGACGGTGCCTCAGCAGCAGACTTAACACCTTCCCTTTCCCTATGATGCAGGGAATGTCCCGCCACTTCGTAGCTCCACCTGTGGGGTGAATAGTGCATATTCGTGATCCACCGATGGCTGACGGCCATGGAAGCACTGATGCAGCCGGTCCCGTCGCCGGCAGTTCCCTAGGAACTGCTGTGCAGTTTGGGTTGGGACTCCGGTTGAGGGAATCAGAGAGGAGAGCACGTGCCGCCCCTCCCCTCACATGACTCCGAAACCAGCACGCGAGCCATAAAGCGTGAGGGCTGTATGGAGCCTTCATCGCCTATATTGGAGCATTATCCTTCGCACTCGCAATCTTTTTATCGCGTCTCGTTTGCCATCAGCCGTGCTTCCGGGTGACTCCCCCCGAGGGGCCCACGGGGCAAGCGACCACTGCAACTGGACTGAAGCACGCCCTCAGTTCGCTCCCAGTACTGCATGAGATCGTGTATGGGATGTAATCGCCAATAGGTGTTGGGCATGGATAGCAGCTTTGTTTTCCAGGAGCAGGCCCCTTGGAGGTCCTCCTCAGGGGATGAGGAGGAGGCCAGCCCTCGTCTCGAGGTGGACTGGGGCACCTTTCCAGTGCCCTGTGGGGATCTTGAGTTTCTCGCAAGCTTGCATGCTGGGGATGTGGGCTTGTAGAATACATTTGAATGCCCACGCTCGGCTGAGATGCCATGGTTCTAATATCCGAATTGTCTCCTGGCCTGGAACATCTCATTTGCACAAGCTCCAGTCCTCATGCCACCCCCGCTGCAGGAGTTTGAGGATGATGAGAGCGAACTGCAGGATACTCTGGCCCACCAGGTTGTCAGTGGTGCTCGTGATGCACAGGGCATTCCCTGGAGCGCCACTCCCTACACCCGTGCCGATTACAGGGTAAGGGGCATCGGTAATTTCAAAATGGCGGTCCTTCCTTGCGGTGATGGTGGTGGGCGCGGGATAGGCTCGGAAGGATGGAGGTGCTGATGTAGGCCAGAGGCACACAGGGGACATCACCTGTGCTGCATGCCCATGCTGAATCTGAAACCTGGAGATCATTGTGGGGTTGCAAGAGGATGTCACACATTCTTTGACTTCACCACACCCCATCGCGCATGCTGGGGCTCTGACCCAGATAAGTGTCCCACCCACCTGCCACCCCCACCTCGCAGCAAGTCCGGCAGAGCCAGCACCGCACTTACTTCAACCGTGAGGTGGAGGTGGCGACCGCCAAGTCTCGGCTGGCCATGGAGGCTGTCAAGGTCTCCACATCGGTGAGTTCAATGCTACTGGTACGGGAGCGGTCAGTCCTGGGGCATGCACGAGATTCTGCCTCTGAGTCCCACTTTGCCGTCCCATTTGAGGTACAGCCAAGCACTCCCACTTCCTGCTCCCCCCTCCCCCCTCCCCTCTCAGAACACGAACATGTTTATGTTCCACCGGAACTGGCGGCGCCTGCACTCCACGATCGTGCACTTCCAGTTGCGGAACCTGCTGTGGTGCCCCACAACCACCGACATGTATGCCGTGCATGAGAATCGGGTCCTCACCTACAGCACCGCCACGCGGGTGCTGCGCACAGTGAGTCCAGACAGGAGGGGTTTGAGGGGGGTGGGCCGGGAGAAGTATTCGCTGATCTCACACGCTACGCCGCAACCCAAGCATCTCTGCATGTTCTTGCCTTGGAATCCCGACCCACGATCCTTGAAATCCCACCTTTCCACCCGCAGGTGATGGACATTGGCGGGGGCATCGCGGCACCTGGAGCGCCGGGCATCGGGGCCGCCCAGGTTTGCACGCTCTGTGTCAAGCACGGCATGGCGGCGGCGGGGGGCTTTGGCGGCGAGCTCGTCGTCAAAAGGCTGGAATCCCTGGAGACCTTCACCTACAGGTGCGGCTCCTGGGGTCGAGGGGGAGTCCTCATGTATGTGAGCAGTCGAGTGGCTGGCAGTGGCCTGTCCACTTGATCTGGGGGGTGCTAGCAACTATGAATGTCAAAGCTGGGCCTTGCGACACAGCTGCAGTGCGCTAGCACCACCTTCCACATCAAAAATCCACTTGTCTCTGTGCAGCAAGAGGGTGACAGACAATGAAAACGGCATCACCAATGCAATAGAGATCGCGCCCTCACCCTCAGGGCAGGTACGTGACGGTGGGGCGAGGGGGCAGGGGTTTGCTCAGTACCCCGATGGGCTCTTTCACGTCTGCCATTGTGCATTTCTTGTCTCCCCTGCTCCCTGCACCGGCAGGTGAGTGTCATCTGTAGCAACAACGACAACAGGGTGCGCTGCCTGGATGCAAAGACCTTTCAGTCTGTCAGGTGCGAGCTGAGAAACCTTCACCTGAGGGGAAGGGTCCAGCTGGGATTTGAGAAGCACCTCTGCCCGGCACCGATCCCTGGCGCCTCAATCCTTACATGGGACAAGACTTACGACGTACTCTCCTGAGGTCCACCTGCGCACAGACCATGCGCCCCCCCTCCACCGCGCACATACCTTCTCTCTCATCTATCCCCCCTAACAGCACGCATGTCATGCCTTGGGCGGTGAACACCACTGTGGCGCAGCCCGGCGGCCGCCTGTTGTGCTCGGTGGGCGACGACCCAGGGGCGCTCATATTTGATCCAGGAGTGGGGCCCTCTCGGCCGGCCGTGAAGCTGGCAGATGGGCACGTGGACTTTTCCTTTGCGGCTGCCTGGCATCCTGGCGGCAACTGTGTGGCCACAGGGAACCAGGTATGGAGGGGTGATGGAGATCCCACAGACAGGGCGACAAGGGAGAGGGCAAGGGGCCCTCGCAGCACCTGCCCAAATGGCAATGAACACAGCTCCGAACCATCACTCCTGCTTCCATCACGCCATGCCCTGATTCACCTCCCAGGACTGCACCACTCGGGTGTATGACATTCGGGCTCCCGGCAAGTGCCTCGCCCTCCTGCTCTCCAACGTGGGGGCGGTGAGGAGCCTGCGCTTTTCAGACTGCGGCAACTTCCTGGCAGCCGCCGAACCTGCAGATTTCGTCACCATCTTTGACGTCACAACCAGGTCGGTTGTAGATGAGAAGGGAGGCACGAGGATGCAGCAGGACTCGACCAGGGTGCACCAGATGACTGCGGTGCTCGGGGGGGGAGTGCCACACAAGTCACTCTACATTCTCAACACGCAATCTCTGTGTGGGGAAGTGAGTGCCCAGGACAAGCCAACTCCTCTGCCGTCACACCGTGCAGCTACAAGCGGGCCCAGGTCATTGATCTCTTTGGCGAGCTGGCGGGCGTCGCATTCTGCCCCGGCAGCGACTGCCTGAACATTGCAGTGGCCGACCCACACTACTCCTCTGTCCTGCAGTACAACAAAATGCGTATGTCCTACTTGTACCCCCTGTGTGAATGAGGGCGACCCGCACCGCCATTTGGCTGCTCCTCTGCTGGCCTGTTGTACAAAACTGTACTGATACGCATCCCCACTTGCCCCCCAGCTTGCTGCCCTCTCTCACTCTCTGCCAATCCCCAAGCATGCAAGCACCTCCTCCGGTCAGCACCTCACGCTGTGAGACAACGGAGTGCAAAGATTACATGATGAGGCCAGGCAGTGCATCAATCAGTAGATGGCAACATCCAGGAAGTCCCCGATCTGGAAGTTTATGGAGCGCAGCGTTTTCACATCGTCCTCCCCGAGTCTGCTCGAGTGCACCACCCCCACCTGGGCAGAGGGAAGGGTTGGAAATGTGGAATGGGAAAGGGTAAGTGGGGACGGGGGATGGGCAGGCCAGAGGTTGAGTCTTGTGCAGTACAGATCTTTAAACACCCCCCCTCTTTGTCTCTACATCCTGCCCCATGCTAGCATCTCAGCATTCAGTGAATTTTTCCACGGCCTCACATGTCTGAGCACATTCCGGCCCCGTCGGTCTGGATAGACAAGCGAGAAAGAAAGTCGCACGCTAGGTCTTCGCGCCGTTTGGTGGACCTCCTTCACCAGGTCACAAAGCTCCCTGATTGATGTTTTGGTGGAACAAAGAAGGCAGGTGAGTAGAGTTGGATGGAAACACCTGTCACTGTTCACCCCACCTGCCACATGAAGCTGCATCCCACCGCACACACACCTCAGGGTGGCGTCTGTCCATGTGTACAACTGAATCTCGTCCTTGGGCTCATCACCCCTCCTCGCGTAATCTTCTAGCATGTGATGTGCCCCAAGCTGCATGGCAAGGAGGGGGGGAGGGTGGTGAATTGGGTGCAGGACAGTGTGACAGACACCCGACATGCATGCAGCAATTATGCCCCCCTCGGCGTCAGTGGGCCGGCCCAAAGCGTCACTGATGCTGCGCACCTTGGGAAAGACGCGGACCAGGAATGGGCAGATCTGTGGCAGGAGAGAGGAGTCTGATTGTAGGATCATGCTGTGAAGGACCCACAGTGGAGCAGCAGGCGGCACGCTGCAATGGCGTCATTGCAAGTACAGGGATGTTCATGTCCCGTGCTTCTGGATCTGCACACCCCCATGCCAGATGTACCTTTTCCCGGTCGATGGGAGGCTCCGCCGGCAGTGCAATGGCTGCGGACTTCACGGCGGGCATGGGAGGGAGCAAGGCGTCCGGCAGTGGCACGTTCTGTGGGCCCAGGCGGTCAGCCATAGGACCTCCAGGCCCCCTCCGACGGTCATCAAAGCCTCCTCCGGGGCGTCCATCCCTTCTGCCAAAATCCCTTGGGCCTCGGCGATCTCCAAAGTCCCTTCCTGACCGGTTCCACTGCCGCATCACTTCCCGCTTTGTGCCTGGAAGGGTCTACAAGTGTGGAGAAGGGCTCGCCCAAAATATGTATTATCCGCTGTTCAGTGCAGACCTGTTAGATTTACTTGGAGCGGACGGGGACATCGGGCTGGGCTTGCTTCGCTGGCGATCGATTTGGAGACCGGACCTTTCTGCCGTGCTGTCGTGCGTGAAATGATTGTTGTATCCAAGGGAAAGGATCTGCCCCTGCAGTCACACGCATTATTCTCCGGCATCTTACACTGCGACTCTTTCCAGTCAAGCCACTCTCGCATGCTTGGTATGGGGCTGGACAGATGCAGGGAGTGGCGACGCTCCAGCCGGCGCAGGATTTGCCGTGGAGACACCCTGGCTCTGGCTCAGACCCGGCCCGCCCGGCTGCTGCTCGCCATGCAGCACCTTTTGGCTCTCCTCAAAGTACTGCAGGGTGCGGATTGGAGGATGTTGGTCAGTGAGTCTCAGACAGGGTATGTTCTGGTCTTACAAATGGACATGCGAGCTTACTGTGCCCCGCCGGACCCTCGAAATGATCACCTGGTTGGGGTGGTTGATCCCCGTCTCGCAGCTGCAGCCATGCTTCCCTTCCCAGACTGCAGCGCACGCCAGCTGAAAGTGGCCAGCCTTGGCCTTTGCGCAGGCCTCGTCGACCTTTGCCGGGGTCACCTGGGGGATGGAGGGGGTCGGAAAATGAGTATGGCCGGGGCTGAAATACATGGCGCAATCCTACTTGCGTGGGAACACGTGGCAACCAGCACGGCCCTCACAGCTGCCCACCACCGCATCTGCTCACCTGGAGTCGGCTGATGGCCGATCGCAGGGCGTCGGGCCCAAACGTTCTGAAGGGGCACCCGTGCACTTGACCCTGGAAGGTATCATGTGGGGTGGGACACCAGCGGAGCGTGAGGCGTGGCACCAGCCAACAGCAGCCTGCCAGTGGCAAGGCAGTGCAGGGACGCCAGGCCAGTGCCCCCTGCACAAATCCTTCGAGAGGCTCTCAGCTCCAAGCCCTTCCGCTCCCTGCCTTCCCCAGTGCCTGCCCCCAGGCTTCCCCCCACCATGACGCTGGAACGAGGGGAAGCCATTCCCCCGGCACGCCACCACACGCACCACTCCCGGCACGGAGGCGATTATCTTGGAGCAGGTGTAGGGCGTGTAGTCGCGCCGGTTTCCTTCCTTCCCGTAGTTGTGCCGCACGTTGTACAGAAACTCCTTGTCGAACTTCTCGCCCGGCGCGGTGGCGGCCATCTCGGCGCGCCAGAAGCGGACGGCCTCCTCCAGGGGCAGCCCGATACCCTTGAGGAAGAGGCCCAGCTGCATGCGCCCGTCGTGCTTGAGGTGGTGCGACTCGTGCAGGGCCTGGGGGCACGAACATGAGAAAAGGGAGGCAGGGACAGGGGGTCTGGCAGTGGTACGATGATAGGCAGCCTGGACGTCGTGGTGACCGAGTGCACCTGGCCCGGGCTGGGCTCGTTGAAAACCGCAAGAGCAAAGCATGCTGCTGCAGCGTGCCACACCGGCGACGCCCCTGACCATGGACACATCGCCCTCCGACCTGCTGTGCCACCCAGCAGAAATGGGAAGCGCAGCGTTCGCTCGCCCCCCCCCCCCCCCCCCCCCCCCCCCCCCCCCCC